ACTGTTGATTTCACAAGAAACCTAGAAGGCTCTATACAAGAGCAAGAATGTCGGCGTTCGCTTCTCACCTGGTTTCCTAGTTCTTCTATGGTGCCAAGTTTGTTGCGTTGTATTCTAGGAGAAATCTCGGTACAGGGAACCTTACCGTATCATACGACTGATAATGGACGTTACCTATGCGGTCGTTCCCGTCTCCAAGACTAACTTGTCTGCAAATACGCCCAGCCACATTGTTCACGTCAGTAGGCTGAAACCATACCACCCTCCTTCTGAAGACCACGTAAAAAGTGCACCGAGAGGGCGCTTTTACAAACGGAGGGTAATTCTACGTAGCTAGTGCATCAATGGTGAAACATTCTGCGTACAGAAGACGGCGAAGAGGACTGGCTTGTTTGCTGCACGTCCTGCGCTCCATCTTGATCGGTGTCAATACATTTGCAAATAATCACGTCCCGTCTCATTTTACGCAACAATAGAAAGTTTTTCTCTTTCTTGTGTCTCTTTTTCTCAATTGATAGCGGGAGGTGACAATAAAAATCTACTTCAGCGTTCTAGCTTGATTAATTGAGGATAAGCACATCACATACCAGTGAGCTGATAATGTGACAGCCTAACGCTGCAAATGTGTGGCTGCGATGATCGAAATGCGGGTAGTTGGGCCTAAGATTTTGTGAAACGTTTCATGGTCGATGAATAATATAAACAAAAGGCCGTAACTGTATAAAATGAAGCTTCTTAACGCCAAATGTCATTGAAAGGGCCTGCTGGCTGTAGTTGATATCGGCACCGTTCAACGTATGCAATGGGAAAGAGATTGGCTTCGTGCTGCCATCATCCGAAACACGAGAAAAGGCCGCGCCTAAAGAACCAGATTGCGTTTCTTCTAACCTCAGCTCGCACCTAAACGTACCCCCCCCCCCCCCCCCCCATGCCCACATCCTGTTCGAGAAGAGAAACGCAGAAAGGCAAGGGCTCGGGCCCTCCAGATACAATATGGCGAGGACCAGCATGTGGTCTACGTGGATGCAGCGGAATATGCGTCAGGATCTCGCATGGCCCTTGCGGTGGCTGACAATCAGGCAAATCTTCTAACTTCGTGCTCAATTGTCACAAATTCCTGCACACAGGCGGAAGAGGCAGCTATCGCGCTTGCTCTCATCTCTGCACCTGCCACCACAATAATTTGCGACTCGAAAACAGTTATTCTGAACTACACAAATAGCTTGATATCCCGTAATGCTGCTCGCTTGCTACGCTTCTGGCCGCCTCAGCGTTCCACAACCCTCATCCGAACGCCAGCACAGGCTGGACTTCTTGGCAACGAGGAGGCTCATTCTCTAGCCCGAGGTCTCAAATTCATTGCAGGAGAAATGGAAACCCCTCCACAGGTCGACGAGCGCTTGCTGTCTTTTTGTGATATTCTATCGTATTACCGGGATCAACAGAAAATATACACACCCCCAGCTCCGTTCCTAAACATGGCGCAGGCCGCACATTGGCGACACCTACAAACTCGGACTGCTCGATATCCCGTATTACCAAACGCCCGTTACCTAGAGCAGTTCCCCTCTTCGTGCAAACTTTGCGGCAAACCAGGAGACTTCCTCCACATAGTCCTCACATGTCCCACCTTCCCACATGCCCCACCTCCGGCTGTGGTGGTGTCAACTGGGAGACTATCGTGACCAGCACTGCTGCCTTGCCCCGCCGTGGTGGTCTAGTGGCTAAGGTACTCTGATGCTGACCCGTAGGTCGTGGGATAGAATCCCGGCTGCGGCGGCTGCATTTCCGATGGAGGCGGAAATGCTGTAGGCACGTGTGCTCAGATTTGTGTGCACGTTAAAAAAACCTAGGTGGTCAAAATTTCTGGAACCCTCCACTACGGCATCTCTCATAATCATATGGTGGTTTTGGGACGTTAAACTTCACATATCAATCAATCAATCAATCAATCAATCAATCAATCAATCAATCAATCAATCAATCAATCAATCAAGCAATCAATCAATGAGCACTGCTGCGTTCGATCAGCACCGGATCCTCTCGTGCGCCATGAAGAGGATCGCACTTCAAGGGCTTACCTTTGCTTTGTAAAGGTGCCTCTTCTCGGTAAGACAGCACCCACGTGCCATGAGGGGGCTCGGCCCCCACGCTCAGAAGTGGAAATCAATGTTTTTACCACCACTACTAAATTGCGATGCGTCACCTGATAGCAGCAAGGAGTTTCACAGGCTGCACTGCGTGAAAATGGACAGAGAAGCGAGCAAACTCTTTGTGTCCATCAACTAATCTTGGAAATGGTTCTCCCGGTACCACGGGACGTTTTTGTGTAGCAATATGAAGAATGGTTGCGCCCCGCTGTGACTAAGTTAGGAAGAAACTTGCCGTAGAATTTGACGACTCCCAGTAATGGCTGCAGATGCTGCCGGTATTTAGGAGCTGGTGCTTCGTGGAGTGCGTCAGCGACCTCTGTCGTTGACGAGATGCCTTCACCGCTCATGCTGTGACCGAGGTATATGGAAGTTCCTGCTGGAAAAACGAACATTTTCCGCTACGCGGACGCCTCGTTAAAGAAGTCGTTGTAACACAACTTTCAGATTCATAAAATTCTCTTCACTATTATTACCAGCCACTAGAATGTTGTTCAGGTAGCATCAAAGGCCACGTAAACCCTTCAGCATGGTGCTAACTATTCTTTGGAAAATCCCGGGTGAAGGCAACGAAGGCGCTGCTCAAATTCATGAAAGAAGCAGACTTGTACCGGCGGTTATAAACTTAACATGTTATGATGACTGTAAAGTGTGACTTTGTGTGTGCTTTCTCTCTCTTCTCTCTTTATTTCAATATGTTTCAAACTCTCCCACCCATTTTCCGTTTGCAGGGTATCATACCAGTCCACCTAGATATTGGTTAACATCCTTGTCGTTCATTTTCTTCCTGTTCCTTCCTTTCTTTCCTCCGGGTGCGGGAGAAGTTTCAAACGTTAGCCAATTGACAGCGAACAACGCTTCCTGCGTGTTCAACGTGAGGTATAGTTTTGTCTAGAGGACCACTTGCTGGTAAGTTCGGTTGAGACAAATCTTCGAGAAATGCTTACGTTCTGGCAAAACTATGAACAGGCCGCTCAGCTTCGGCAATTGGTAGCGGTGGACATTAAGGTACGGGTCAGCAGTCATCTTGGAGTTGCCGCAAGTCCATATGCTACCATTTATGGAGTTTGATTACGGGCGCTGCCGCCGTAGCTTAATCTGACGTCGTAACCGGCGATATAATCGCCAGTTGTTCCATTTTAGCCAGTTCAGCGACGAAAGTTTTACGCAGTGCAAAGGAAACATTTCTGGCTTTGCCACCTTGACTTCAAATAAGGTTTAAGAAAAAGTTTCGTGCAGTCTTCTTTCATTGTTAATCAGGAATGAAGTTTCTAATTGAGTGTCGTTTTGAAGGATTATTCGACACGCAATACTCTCTTTATATTGAGGTATATGATTAATACTGCAAGACGAGCTAGTCAGTATGAATGCATAAAAACTTATTTTTAGAATCACACTAGCGCTGGTGTCGTTCCATCTCTTTGTCCCTGTGTCAGTGTGCGCTAAAAGGAGTCATTATACAGGTTATAATATGACGCGGAGCTGTTTAAGCCTTAAGAAGATCGCACAGATGGCAAGGACGCACAAACGGGCGATGTTACCATCTTTCTGCGTGATGTACAAGCGCATAAGGGCTGCAGTTAAACTTTGTTCACTACTTGAAGTGCTGTGGATAGAAACCAGAAAAAAACTACCACTCATGCATGAAGTGAACGAGGAAAAGTGGGGCGAAGCGGCCGTCCATCAATGTGTCCATCCGTCCGTGTGTATAGTTGGATGGACAGAGGCATTGACGCATAAACGGACGAATGGACAGACGGATGGACGCATGGACGGACGAGTAGACGAACGGGCGGAAGCATACAGCTTCCTAATATACACTAGAGGGAACTCTGGCGCTAGTGTCTATGGGAGCTGCAAAGCACGTCGCTTCAGGGAGCATGGAATGATGGGTAGTACACAAATTTGTCTAAACTTCGTACTTCTCGCATGCTTTTGGCACCGTGTGTGTTCGTGTGGCTTGGAACTGTTTTCTCACGAAACAAAACTCGGCAAATGTTCAGCGATTGCGCTTCACCACCCTATTTTTTTCAACTTACCTTTCCAAATCGGGTCACGAAGTTCAAAAGGGTTAACTCTTTCTTTTAAAACAAAACCGAAACACAGCAATAAAAGAAGTCGCAAGTACGATTCACCGCCCGCAAGTACGAAGACTAGGCAAATGTGTGTACTTCTCATCATTCCCATTGTCGCTGAATGATCGCAGCGACAGAGTACCCTCTAGTTAATTTTAGGAAACTCTATGGGCGGAAGCTCGGATGGGAGGACGGAAACATGGACGGACAGATGGACAGACGGACGCACAGACGTCCTCACGATCGGACGGACAAAAGCACGAACGGAAGCACGAACGGTCGGGCGGAACGAATGTATGGACGTACGGGCCAATGGACGGACGCGTGGACGAATCGGCGCACGAACTGACGGAGAAAGCTTCGCCCCCCTCATCATCATTCACTGCGTGGATTGGCTGTAAAAATTACTAACGCCATCTAGTTATCATATTTCCAAGGACATAAACATACAACGCTATCTATTGAGCAACTAATAATATAGAGGTGGGTACTACTACTACTACTACTACTAGTACTACTACTACTACTACTACTACTACTACTACTACTCCTACTACTACTCATACTACTACTAAAGAAAGAATGACCCACGGCATAGGGAGCTTCGCTCGTAAAAATGACCATGAAACCAAATGACGGGCATGTGCTAGCTGCCTGCCAGCTGTGTCTCGCTGGCATAAAACCGAAAAGAAAACAACCAGAATGAGAGCCCGTTCCGCTGTCAGAGACGGTTTCCTAATATGCGTTATCCACCGCTTATTTTCTACATTTGCAGCTCAAGACGTCTCAGAGTGTGCTTCCAATTCCCCCTGTAAACAACAGAGTGATGCTTCTCACCTGCGGCATGTGTCTAGCTTTGGGAAGCTTTTTGACAGCTGGCTTTGCCGATAGGCCTATGGTCAGGCACAAGCATGAGGTACGCTGAGTTATGCTTTTCCTCTTTTTTATTTTATATAACTTTTGTGCACTTTCATAACTGTATACTGTGTAGTGCTGAGACATATAGCGCTGATTTGATTGATTGATATATGGAGTTTAACGTCCCAAAACCACCATATATTTATGAGAGCCGTCGTAGTGGGGGGTTCCGGAAATTTGTACCACCTGGGGGTTCTTTAACGTGCACCCAAATCTGAGCGCATGGGCCTACAGAATTTCCCCCTCCGTCAAAAAGCAGCCGCCGCAGCGTGAATCTATTTGCATCGGATGCGGGCATGGACGAAGGAAAATACTAGGAAGGAGAGCCAAGTGATACGGCTGCTGCACCCGCAGTAGACGACATCAAAGCTAGCCGACCAATAGTTGCACTTGCCTCTGACGTGAGCAGTGACCTTTTCTCCCTTAAGTTTTTTAAACTAGGCTTTATGCTTGGGACATGATGCTCCATCTTTTTTTTTCTTTTTCCATGGTTCAACAAGCTGAGTGAAAGTTATTGAAACATAACGTGGGAGCTGTTTTGAGAAGCGTAACTTCACTGTTTCCTTGCTTTCTTTTACTTCAGCCAAAAAAGCGAGACGACTTCGATGATTGTTGTCCGTTTTCAAGGATGTTCGTCACAATTGTCTACAAGTGAGTAAACAAGGTTTTTGAGAAAGTGGACATTTGTTAACACTCGAAATCACGTTTTTCCATATTCAACTGACTAGAACGTAAATATCCTAAGACATATGTTTTTGAAAACGCTTCTGGTGCACTTTTATTACGTGCTATAAGTAACACAATAATTAAAAATATAGAAAAACTTGTTTGCCGCGAACAAAACGTGAACCTGCCTATATTGCAAGAGAAATTTCTTTTCGTTAACAGTGTTTTGTAGCCCATTTCATGTTGATTAAGCGTAGTATTTACACCAAAAAGGATTTCACACTATTGCAGAAACAAAATTAGGTGAATTCGTACAGTCCCTCTTAAAACGATTTATTGTGTTTTCAGAGTTACATATTTGGGCTAGCCAATATAATTATTACGTACGGAATAATTTATTACACCTTTCTTCCTAAATTTCTGAAAACAAAATTTCATACAATATCTTTATGATTCACTAACAGTTTCAACACAAAACATAAGAGAATCACTCGAATACTATACATGTGGAATCGTGTCTCTAAAGGGCTGCGTAATACCATTGTGCAATGGGAAAAGAGTTGGGAAGTATACTTACTATTCCTGCCGTTATTATCTCCTCTTCTAAAGAGTACATTCACCTGCACTGATTTTCTTCGTTAACCGAACAGACATATCAGGAGCACGATGATCAAATCAAAGTTCATGGTGGAGAACATGCCAAGATTGACGTGGCGTCTCCGGTGCTACCCGAACAATGAGTGTGAGTCACAAGATTTTGTGAAGAAGAAGTAAGTACCCTTAGATACAAGTGCGCTATCAGATGCAATATTTGAAATAAGAGCCTGGAACGGAGGGTATGTGGCAACGATGGCTCGATGACTAAACCTTATTGAGCTCTTTCGGAACGCGCTTTAGCGCGTTGCGGGCCACTCTCACGTCGAAGCAGACAAGACAAGTCTCTCTGATGCGTCGCGGAACCTTTTTACTGCTCATAACTGTTGTTAGAGTTTAGAACGGGTGATAGCATCCTATCATTAAGGTGGGCGTGATGACTTAGCCCCCGCGTAAAGACCATTTCGCATGCGAGTGACTAAGCGGCATCAGGACGCACAGACGGATATGCATTTCACATGAGCTGCTTTTGCACGACGCCCGCCGCTATGATGGACTGCCGAGTTGGAGCGAGGTCCTTTCAGAGCGTGCACCCGCTCTTCGATTTTACCCCTGCCGTCCCGTGCCACTGACGTCACTGCTCCCCCTTTGGTCAGACGCTTGGCCGTGATCGAATTTTTCCAACACTGCCGATGTTCAACGCAGCGTCTAAAAGACGCTCTAGAAACCTGTTATTAGCTCTTGCGACGGTTGCCACTCCGCTTTTGGGGCTAAATTTCTCGCATGCGAAACAGGCTCAAAGTGGGGCATCACCAGAGCTTGTGTTCTTAGATGAGCTACATACGCAACTAAAGAACATTCGTTAGTTAGTTATAATTTGAGATAAATGATGCTCAATTCAGAAGGCTAGTGTACGCTCCGGCCTTAAGTAGCCTGAGTGTCAAAGCGTGAGGTCTGTTGAATTTCTGTTTGACGGAGGGCACACACCGGATTGAACTCAGCCGTAAGCTGTTTCGCATTTAATAAATTGGGAGCGACTGATATTGCTGTGGCACCTCGTGGAAAACTCAAGCGCCCCACGATACGCTTCGTTTCCATCGAACCCATTGCCGTCAACACTGACAGCTGCGCGTTCCGCGAGTTATGGAGGAAAAGCAGTGTTAAGAAGGAGAGTCATATATTATTACCCACAGTTGCCTTATTACAAGGTACGTCGCTTAGTTTATGGTGCCGATTGTTTGTTGATGCTGTAGCCCAAATGCAGATAGAGCTTTAAAACACCTTTCAAGGTCTAAGTAGGGAGGAAGGCCAACCAGTTAGGAGTTACTGGAGGGCTATACCTTACACTGCGGGCTTGTGAGTGTTAAGGGTACAATAAAGTCAATAGAACAGCAAGGGCGTTATTTATAGTGTTCAATTGATGTGTACAATTGTAATAAAAATGAAAATACATGCACAAAAAAGCAACTCGTCACCGGTGGGTACCGTACCAAAAACCCTTTTTTTTGCCGCTTAACATGGCCCTCCATCCCCATTGACTGCGTAGAAACAGACCAAGACGCCGGTCAGACTTGCGACACAACAGAGGGTGCTAATAATCTCTGGGTCCGGACAGGCCACCATTAATATCTGAACTTTTCTACGTAACACTAGACCGCTATTTAGTGAAGAAAGTTTAGCTGAGCTATTTGAAGAATCAGAGGGTGTTATCTGGGATGTAATAGGCCTCAGCGAAGTTATGAGTACACGTGAGGCCTATAGTGGTGACGAACGGCCACGTTCAATGCTACCATGGATTAGTCGACAGAAGAGAACTAGGGGTGGGGTTTCTTACACACAAGAATAAATCTGGAAACATAAAGGAATACTATAAAACCATTGAAAGGTTGGCTAGCGTCGTAATAAAGTTTACCAAATGCTACAAGATGAAGGTCATACAAGCCTATAAATTGAGCCATGATCATTTAGATGAACACTTCTACGAAGACGTAGAGTCAACAATAATGAAGTAGATACACAGTACACTATACTGCAAGAAAGATACCTAATAGCACGCAAAATGAAATAACGACATCGGCTCTAGAAATACCAGACGAAGTTAGTAGTACAGTTTTCAGAACGCAACAATTCATGGATCTTCAATACCTTCTATTGAAAACGGACTAATCATTAGTGGATGTGGCGGTGTTCCTAATGATGAAACTAAAAATTAAGTAGACTTCATTCTGTGTGCACACCCAGGCATTTTACTCCACTTACAAGTAGTTGCCAAGATCCGATGCAGCGACCATAGAAAGGTAAAAACTCAAATTCACATAGACCTATGAGAGCAAAAGCATAAACTGATACGCAAGAAGCCAATCAATGAGGTAGCGATGAGAGGGAAAATACTTAAATTCAGAGCTTTGCTTCAGAATAGATTCGCGACTATAAACTAGGCAACCAACGTTAGCGCTGAAGCAATGAACGATAAGCGTGTGCAGTGGAACTCGGAGGCACAGTCACTAGACAGGACGCTAGCAAACTATCCCATAAGACGAAAAATCTCACGAAAGACAACAAGCCGCGAAAACCTCAAATGCAACCTACAAAATAGAGCTAGTGGAAAAGTTTATAGGCGTAAATTAACCGACTCCAGAAGGTATAATGCGCAGAGAATTGAGGAGGCTGTAAAAAACGGCAGAAGCCTAAACGCTGTGAGAGAAAACTTGGACAAGAAAAGTAATGTCATAACCAATATGAATAGGATCGTTGAGGTGGTGGTGTAGTTTTACAGAAAGCTGTACATAAACCCAAACAACCAGTACGACATTGTATGAAGCTATAACAGCCCAGAAAAATTCTACATAGTACCAGTAACGACCAGGAAAGTAAGGAAAGCCCTAGAACGAATGCAAGGAGGCGAAGCGGCTCGTTGGGATGAGGTAACAACAAACTTGCTGAAAGATGGTGGAGAAATTGTGTTGGAAAAACTGGCTACCTTATATACGACGTGTCTCTTGATGGGAATGGCACCAGAATTTTGGAAAAACGCCCATATCATCTTAATATATAAGAAAGCAGACGTCATAAGCTTAAAAAATGCAGGTATATCAGCTTACTGTCCATTCTCTAGAAATATAATTACAAAAACAAGTAGTTAATAAACTAAAGACGACATTAGAGTTCAGTTAACGAAAGGATCAAGCAGGATTTCGTTCAGGCTACTCCACAATAGACCATAATCATAGTGTCAATTAGGTAACAGGGAAATGGGCGAAATACAACCTACTTATATACACAGCCTTCATAGATTACGAGAAGGCGTTTGACACCGTCGGGACATCTGCAGTGATGCAGACACTACGGAATCGGGGCTTAAACAAACCCGATATAAAAATACTAGGAAGAAATCTACAGTGCATCCACAGCACCACATTTCTTCATAAAGTGACAGAATCCAAATAAAGAAAGGTGTATGGCAGGAAGGCACAATCTCTCTAATGCTATTCTCCGCGTGTTTACATGAGGTTTTCAGTGCCCTTGATTGGCAGGAGTTTGGGATCAGAATTAATGGAAAGTATCCTAGTAACCTGCCATTCAATGATGACATGACTTTAATAAGTAACTCAGAAGACAAATTCTAGCTCATTATTACTGAACTGTTGGACACTGAAAGCATAAAAGTAGGTCAGAAAATTAATACGCACAAAAGTAATGTGCAACAGTCTCGGTAGAAGAAAGCGCTTTTCAATAAATGGAGAGACGCTCGAAGTTCTAAAGGAATGTGTCTATTTAGGACAGGTATTAACCACGAAGCCGAACCATGAGAGCGAAAGAACTAGAATAATAGGGATTGGGTGAATCTCAATCAGCAAGCATCTTCAAAGCATGAATGGTAATGTACCACTAACCCTCAAGAGGAAGGTATATAACATCTGCATCACGTCAGTACTTACCTACGGAGCAGAAACCTCGAGGCTTACAGAGATGGCTCTGCTTAAATTGAGGACGACGCAGCGAGTAATGGAAAGGAAAACAATAGTTGTAACCTTTAGAGACAAGAGGGCAGAGTGGTTCAGGAGACAAACAAGGGTTAAGGGTACATTGTTGAGATCAAGAAGAAGAATTGGACATGGGTCGAGCAAGTAGTGCATAGGGAGGATGACCGTTGGTCACTAAAGCTAGCTGACTGGATTCCCCGAAAAAGCAAATGCACAAGGGGGAGACAGAAAGTTAGGTGGGTTGATGAGACTAGAAAGTTCACAGGCATAACGTGGCAGCACAACGCACAAGACCGGATCATGGGAGAGGCTTTTGTGCTGAAGTGCACGTAGTCAGGCTGATGATGATGATGTTCAGCCAGCTACTAAGTTTTCTCACTCAAGCAATGGCTTTGCTTGAGCAAATGGCAGTGAGAGTGCGCATTAGCGATTGTACACAATGTTTGTGGTTGTTCATCCATGCAGTTAACTGCAACAATGCATCTTTACGCTGAAAATTACACCTTGTACGCATGCCTGATATCAATCTTCGCATAATATAAGCCGATTATATAGGTTTTAGTGCACGTATTCATGTGTAAGAGCACGAAATTCAGGGGTTTGTACTTGGTTCCATCGACGCTTTTTGATTCTTTAGAATGACCGCAAAGATACAGAGATTTAGCAATACGCACACCTTCCAGCCCACTGTCAGTATGCGACTAACACGGGTCTATCATGACTACTATGACGCATAGCCTCTTAGAATGGACAGATGCTCTTCCCGCAGTCTTCAAAGCATTCTGAAATATTTTAAAGCACTTCAATTTTCAAACACTGATTGATTGATATGTGGGATTTAACGTCCCAAAACCACTATATGATTATGAGAGACGCCGTAGTGGAGGGCTCCGGAAATTTAGACCACCTGGGGTTCTTAAACGTGCACCCAAATCTGAGCACACGGGCCTACAACATTTCCGCCTCCATCGGAAATGCAGCCGCCGCAGCCGGGATTCGAACCCACGCCCTGAGGGTCAGCAGCCGAGTACCTTAGCCACTAGACCACCGCGGCGGGGCAATTTTCAAACACTGGTCCACGGCACGGAAAGGCCAGAGGCTAGGCTTCCCGGCTGGTGACACAAAGGCCTTGGGTTCAATCCCGGCCCCGCGGTCTCATTCCTATGGAGGCGAAAAGGTAGAGGCCCGTGTACTGTGCAACGTCATGGCACGTTAAAGAACACCAGGCGGTCGAAAGTTCCGTGGCCGTTCACTACGGCGTCTTTCATAATCATATCGTAGTTTTGGGACGTAAAACCCCAAATATTATTGTCAATAATTTTTAGGCACTATAGGTACATCACTCCGGAAAATTTTCGCATTATTTATAGCTACTCTTTGGCCCTCTCACGTTCTTTTTTTTCCTGACGGGACCAAAAATATACAGCGACAACTATAGCACTGATGACATTTGCTGCCAATCAAGACACTTTCTGATTCCCCAATAAATAACCATTCGGTGTGCTCTTGCAGTCAACGGGTGAACAGCCCCTATCGTTTCCTCTGGCTGGTTCTTCGTCACAGCTGGCAAGAGCAAGTGTGGTCGTGTGCCGTTGCGGTGATGTACTACTCGTCTATCTTGCTACGGATTCCGCTTTTTCAGTAAGTATATAGGCACTATTCAATGCCAGTGAGCTTGTTTTGGGGAAAAATGATTAGGCGCAACGAGAGAGAGAAAAAGTTCATTCTCAGAACTGAAAGTGGTATTTTGTTTTCAGCGGGAAGTCATACCACTATACACTCCGTTTCACAGATCAGCTGCAACGCTGTGGCAGCTAGTGAGACTCCTTGCTCGAGACGCGTTCGTGCAAAGAAATAGTTCCGTGTTTTTAGCACTGATAATACATTCTTCTTGTAGTTTCAGGCTGAGTATTGAATGTGCATGTTTTATCTTGCAAACAAGCAAGCCCTGTTACATGGGTGTAATTATATGGCATGAATCGCTTAGCCTGTTTTTGATTTTGTTCTTTGGTGTTTTGTTTCACAGGCCGGGGTGACGCGTCAGGCGAAAACACCTAACCGGCTTTGCGAGCGTTTACAACGACGAAAACCGGCCGTGATACGTGGAGAGTGGTACATTGTGCTGACCGAACTTCTTGCATGGCTTTCGCAGCGTTGCACCTGATGTGTGAAACGGAATATAGCACTTCGCCTTTCAGAAAGCAGTGCCATTTACTTCTTGTTTATTCTTTCTGTCGCTCATAGCGCAAGTCTTATCCTGGTAGATGTCATGCACATATTTCGGCTACTTGTATCGAAATAAGCGATGAAGCTCATAATGACGAACGATGGTCAAGTTATCTCTCCGCAAATCTCGGCGTGAACCATTGCAGTCTTTTGAGAGTGTACGGTAAGAAGCGTACGAGTTTGAGAAAGTGCCTTAGCTGGCCAATTACAAATAACAAGCGTTTAACACATTCTTCAGCGTGGTTGTTGGCCGATATTAGCTTCCCACAAGTTAGATCGCGGGATCAGCGCAGTGCGCGAAAGGGTGGTACGAAATGTGCTCAATCACGTAAGGGGCTAAAACAGCAACAACATGATAACAACTCTCTCCCCACTGTGGCCTTGTGGTTACTGTACTGTTGACCCGAAAGACGCGCGCGATCTAATGCCGTCCGCGGCGGCCGCATTTTAGAGGCGAAGCTCTTTATAGCGGCACCCGTTCGTCCCTCGTAGTTCGTAATAAGTGTAACATTTTGACCTCCAAGGTGGTGCCGGTGAGAGACTTCTTCTGTGCGTTGTTGAACAATAAAAAATAGTGCTCAATGTACATGTCAATGGCTGCTAATGGGGAATGAGAGACAGGAGCATTCGGCTTTTAGTTAACGCGCAGGCTGCGATCACCATTAGCAGCCATTGGCATGTACATTGAGCACTATCTGACAAGAAAGGGTTGCTACATTATACTCGCTGGGTGTAGCCTCCTTAGCTTTAGAAAGGTTTAGCGAGCGTTGAGCCGCAGTGCCATGAATACAATGAACTTGTATATACTATGAATGAACTCGAGGTGGTTAAAAATGGAAAGTAGATACGAAGCGCAAGCCGTAAGAAAGTAAAAGCCGAATTCTCCGCCTCTCATTTCCCATTAGCAGCCATTGGCATGTACATTGAGCCCTATCTGACTGAAAAAGTTTGCTACGTCATACTCGCTGGGCGTAACCTCCTTGGTTTTCGAAAGGTTTAGCAAGCGTTCGGCCGCAGTGCCATGAATACAGTGAACTAGTATATACCATCAACTCGAGGTGGTTAAAGGTGGGAAGTGGATTCGAAGCGCAAGCCGTAAGAAAGTGTGCGTGTGCCACCTCTCGTTTAGTCCTTGGAATGTCCGCTGGATGGCGGTGCTTCTATATGGGGAATATATGATGAAAAGATGCGAGATGGTGGTACTTGGAGTGTTGAATAGATGGACGAACGGACACATAGACAGATGCATGGATGGACGCATGAACGGGCGCAGGGGCGGCTGCATGGACGAACGCAGGGATGGACGCACGAACAGACGCACGCACGGACGGGCTGACGAACGCATGGACGGACGGAAGCAAGAACGAATGAACGGACGAACTCTTCGCCCCACTCTCCATCATTCACTCCGTGGATATGCTGCCATTTTTTGATGGAGGCGGAAGCGTTTGAACCCGTGTGCGAGGCGCACGGTGAAGCACCCCGGGTGGTCGAAATTTCCGAAGCCCTTGACCATGGCGTCTTTCATAAACATATAGTGGCTTGGAAACGTTAAATATCAGTTATTATTATTATTATTATTATTATTATTATTATTATTATTATTATTATTATTATTATTATTATTATTATTATTATTATTATTATTATTATTATTGGGGCTGCGATATGACAAACTGTGTGACCATCGAATCGATGTTAAAACACTGGCACCGAAGGAAGTGAATAGCGTTTTTTTCGGGGAAGGTGACCAAACGTAACAGAATGGCGCCATATTTTGCACAGCTTCGCTAGCTTACGGCTGTTTGTGAACTATTCATGACAAAAAAATGCATTTTTTCATACAATTATTTGAAGCATGGAAGCACACTCAAACACTTCTCTTACGAATTAATGGGTACACATGTGACAGACCTTCTAGAACAACCAAATATAATCACGTTGATTTTGATTTGAAGCTATGACCGTTAGAGGCACACCGAGACGTCAAGAAATATGCAGTAGTTATGAGGAATGCCATGTACAGGTTGGCAGTCTTTCTTTCTTAGCACTTCCGTAATGTACGCAGTGGCCTGCTGGCTGGTGGTAGCACCGACATGTCCTTCAACAAGGCCGTGCTGTTGCTGGTAGTTTCATGTGCCACGGAGGGCCTCGTCTGCAGCCTCTGCGTCAGCCTGTCCATCCGTTGTCAGATCAGAGCTCAGCTATTGCTGCAGACGGCTGTATTCAAGAAGGTAACATGCATGCATTACACTAGGTGGATTGATGTGGTTTTCGTAGATGGAGTAATTTTGCCCTCCAACACGGGGCTTGCTTCGCCCGTCTACAACACTGCTTTTTTAAGGGATGACTTGTGGTTGGACGTAACGTAAGCAATGCCACTAGAACACAGACGTCACTTTTATAGAAAAGAAGTGCCTGTTATAATAAGAAGATGTGAATATCATTCATTAGCGTATTCCTTTGATGTCAAGGAGCACTCAAATATAGCTTGCTGAATTGCATGAGTGCATTAAATTCCAGTAAAGGTGCAGCAAAGACTGTAAGCACAATAGTGTCGTCAACAATGCAGTAGTCTCGGGACGGCTTTCAGCTCTCCCATAATAGAGTACCAAGTACTCTAAATCGTTAACAACTTTTTCTAAGCACAAGCACAATGGGCGTGATCACGACAGGATGCCCTTGTCATAGGATTTCAAGCGTAATCTTCATTACGTATTTGTAAAATTAAGTAGCCAGCACAGCAATCACAACTGACGGTGCACTGGCATGACGCCTTAATGGGGTCTTTTGCAAAGCAGTTTTTACAAAGCAGTCGTGGCTCATTGAGGGCATCTTGTTTGTAAATGCGAAGCATTTCTTAGGGAACTTCGGCGATTTTGAACATATCTATCTATCTATCTATCTATCTATCTATCTATCTATCTATCTATCTATCTATCTATCTATCTATCTATCTATCTATCTATCTATCTATCTATCTATCTATCTATCTATCTATCTATCTATCTATCTATCTATCTATCTATCTATCTATCTATCTATCTATCTATCTATCTATCTATCTATCTATCTATCTATCTATCTATCTATCTATCTATCTATCTATCTATCTATCTATCTATCTATCTATCTATCTATCTATCTATCTATCTATCTATCTATCTATCTATCTATCTATCTATCTATCTATCTATCTATCTATCTATCTATCTATCTATCTATCTATCTATCTATCTATCTATCTATCTATCTATCTATCTATCTATCTATCTATCTATCTGATAGAGAGATAGATAGATGGATAGATAGATGCGAAAAGTGTTTGCAGTACGTAAATAAATGCTTCGCATTCAAAATATATCTGATCGAGTTGAATTCAACAATTAGTCAATCTGTTCTGTGTCGCCTGCACCGTGCCTCAATTCGTTGGGGACTGCACGCGGGCCTTGTGAGAAAATAACAAATTTGTAACTTTTAGAAGAATACGTCATATTTTACAAAATATGGGGGGCGTGGGAAGCAGTTGGCACATGCTCATATCCAGTCAAATATGAACACGCGCCAATTTGCCCAGCTGAGCATGCTACTGCACATCTCATTCCCTCATAAACGTCGTGTCCAGGTGACCTGCCTTTCTGCAGCTGCCGTGGCCGCCAACCCATCCGGCTATGTGTCGTCTCTACTGGTCGCTGACCTCTGGCTGTTGGGTCTCTTCACAAGTTTCCTGGCGAACGCCTTCGTAGGCCTTCTATGCATTCCGCTAGTTTTGGCAGCTCTGGCGTACGAGTTTGGCTACGAACCAGCTTGCGCCTGTCTCGTTTGGATACTGCTAGTTGCCGCGGCATGCGCGGTCATGGAGCCACTCCTTTACAAGAGTTGTGTGAGTGCAAATGATGTCGAAATCTTTCGCTGGTCGAGGCCGTGGTCCTCAATACCCACTGAGTCACGTTCTTTGCGTTTGCGAGGGCTACCGCTGATTGTCGTATAGATGTGCCGCAGGGGCTAGATACAAGAACCAGTGCCCAGTCTGCCCTGTTTCTCTGCGCTTGGATGTCATCTAGGATAACCTCGATAATAGCTGAAAACATCAGATACGAATAATGATTGAAACACAGCCCCACTCCCCCCAACACACACGTACACACACGCACGCACACAATCACACAAACGCACACACACATGTGTGTTCATGAACGCACGCACGGTATTGTGCTAATGTATAGGTGCGCATCCCACTTTCCACTCTTCTGCAATGTGCTGTAGCGTGAACCTGTAATTTTAAGAAAACGAGAAATGGTACAAATTTGACAAGTGCACTTCGTTATCGCAGCTGCGAATGAAAAAAAATGAAACGGTAAATGTTTGCCGGCTTAGACGTTTTATCTAGCCCTTGAAAATAGTTGCCATCCCATCCAACCAGTGTCGGAAGAAGGAAGGAAACTATTGTAGAAGCAACTGTGAAGCCTTGGCTTACTCCCCGAATGAACACCAGTGCTAATGTTGCCGGAAGTATTTTATAAACACCGTTCTAAGAGTACATGCGAAAGTCTAAATGCGTTGACACAAATCAGTTGCGTGCTACGTTAGAAAATTCTCGGTGCACAATCAAGAATAAGGAATGTGGTGGCCTGGTGAAATATTTCAAGTATTTCTTGAAACATACGAAGTTAAACTGTCATTTATGAGGCATCTTTACACTTTTTGCAGACTTCTTGAGTTGCGAAGTTACCCCGTTAAGTTGTATGTTCGATGGTACCATGTTTAGTTCGCATTAAAAATGAAGAAACTTTCCTCCCGCTTTTCTTCACTCGAAAATAGCGAATTAGCAATGACTAGATGGCAGAAAGATGACACTGCCTACTTTACAGCGCTCACATTCACACTAAAGTATACTCTATTGACAACTGAGTCTCAGCTCAACTGAACTTGACATGGTTCGGAAGCTATGAAATAAAAAAAACTAAATGGTTTGATATATACTTAATATAAGTAACATCAGGCAAACTCACAAACGTATAGCAGAGAGTGAGTACTGATTTCTACACATTACAGTTTAAAACATTGCTTGTAAGCAATAAAAGCGGCAGATAGAACGTTGCCACTTTTTCTGGTATAATAATTATGTTGGATGGACCTTATAGATTTCCTAAATGAGCAACCATTAAAGGAGCTGCGCTATTGGAACCAAACGTATACCGATGAGACCGTTAGCACATTGATTTTTTTGAAATAAGTTTAAATTATCAATGTCTGTTCTCACGGTTCGTGGGTAGACATATACTGTATGTCACGCGTGGCGTATACCCGTATTTCGCAGCGATTGATTAACGGGTATATGCTGTGCATGTCTGGAGGAAAGTGTTGGACGACATACGTGACGAAATGACCAGCCAGACGTATTCGTCAGCTCTATTACTTCCCATACTAATTGTCAGCAACCGCAAGTTAGGGAGGCGATTACGAGAGCACCCAGATGTAAGTGGAGATATTAATACGCATATAGACACACTGAAAGCGCCTGCAGTCCGCTGATAAATGCTTCGCACTTAAAAATCACAATTTCACCAAAAGGACCAAGCAACCAATGCGACAGCAAGAAATTGTAGTGGCATACGAAGGAAGACTGGCAGCTAACTGTTTTGAACCCGATATCGCACAACTCCGAAAAAGGCTGGGGCAAGAGAACATTGTCGCTCGAGGGTGAGTTGTGGTTTTCGCGTGGTCTCTTCGCGTCGAGAGCACAATGTGTAGAAGGGTATACGAGCTGTCTGCCGATGCCTGCCGTGATAGCGCGCTCGCCAGCGATTACGACAAGATCAAATTTCACAGTTGCTTCTCAAGTGACACATCCTTCCTTCCCCCCTTGCGTTTTTTTATGTTCCTTCGAGGCGGACGGAGTGTTTTATGTCCACTTAAGTAGCTATCGACGCCAGGCTTTGCCAGCAGGTGACATTATCCCATGCGCCTTCTATGTGACAGAGATGGGCCGGCTCATTTCCTCTCTGGTTCAGCCATGTCCGTCACCCCCGCTCACGTTTCTTTACCTGCGGGGAGAATATATAATGAGCAGTAGGAGTCATTGCTTTGGATTTTATACGGATGTTGATAGCAACGGCGACAATGACGGTGAAAAGCCGTCGAGAGTGTCTAATAATTATTACCGCATTGAAATGAACTGGTACGAAGTTCGCGCAATCGTCACAGATCTAACGACTGCGTTCAATCAGGATGAACATTCCCGTTGCCTTAAAATCACTGCTTTTAGATGGCGCATAAATGGGTCGATGGAATTGGATGATGTAAACAAAAGAATCTCACTCAAAGCGTGTAATTAGCGTATATAGTAAATTTATATTTTGGCTCTAAAAGAGTATTTAATGAATGCATTTCTTTTCCTCACTTCTTGCAGAAGGTACTTTACAGATTTCGAGACGAACGCCTCAAGAAGTTCACCGACTTTCTGCTCTCTATACGGCCGATCAAAATGTCTGCACTAGAAGATGTATTTCAGAAGAGCCTTCTTCATCTCCGAAAGAAGGAAATTGACCAGGCGTACCGTGTCAACGTACTAGAGATGCTCCTGGAAACACTATTTAGTGCATCGAGCCCGATGGTGAGGACCTTGCAACCTGACCATTAGGTCCTAAGCAGGACCTTGCATTTAAATGGTCACGTATTTTACTGTTTGTAGCTGGATATCTTCGACGACTAAACTTCTTAGGAAGATTTGTTTCATTCTGAGTCTTTGCTTCGCAGCAACAAAAAAAAAAAAACACATAAGAGCACATACACGGAGACGATGTCGTACAAAAAAAAAAAGGTTGTGAACGTCATTTTGGATTGGAGGTGAATTTTCTTCGAGTAAAAGTTTTTCTATAAGGAAGAAAGATAAGTGAGAGTGCTTTGGTTCTTGATTCTAGCAAGTGAAATTCTGAGTGACACCACCGTTTCAATTGATTAAAGGTACACATGGATAAAAGAAGTGAGAAACAAAGAACTTTTTTGTGTTAAGTACCTTACAGTGACAACCAATTAGGAGCGAATCAAGTTTTTATTGGTGCTGCTCAGCGAAACGAATGTGTTACTTTGCGATTGATGTTGGTATTTACATTGTTTGTGTTTATTTTATTAACTTCTATATACAGAAGATAAAGGAGTAGTCTTACAAGTGTGGATTGTGCATTTCAGTTAAGTTAATGTGCGATTTTGTTCTGTTACACTAAGCTGTTAGACATCTAATGAGACATCTAATGAGACATCTAATGAGATTGTCTTGTTTCTGTACGAAAGTTTGGGGTATTTCGTCGAACAATTTTCAATAAACTCTCAAAATATTTGATGGTTCAAGCAAGGCACATTGTTGTCTGTTCCCAAACCTTCGGAATAGCAAGCCTGCTCTCACGCATACGAACTGACTTCGTTGTGGCGGAAGGTTAACGTAAAAGTCTAAATGATCCCAAATGATCGCCTATAGTGCTAAATGATCGCCAAAGGTGTTTGATGGCGATATTTCCCTTTGCGCCATGTCTAGCAAGTTATCTCATGGCCTAGTAATACGTTCACTTTTAGCGGTCTTTGTGATCCAAGGTTTTGAGCTTTTTTGGCTCGCACACAATCACAAAACAATATAGCCCCATCGTCATCAAGGGCGGCCGCTTGATACCCACTTGCAACGAGGTAGAAAAATGCTTTTGAATGCAGTCAGATCGGACTCCAGAATAGAGCATTGAGCAGTAGTGAGGTAGCCCACAAGCATTAAAAACCGCCTCTCCCGATGCAGAGTAACAGGCTAGAACATGTTATCGCTCAGACTGACCTCTTTGCCTTTCTGCGACTAAACCTGTCTCTCTGTATCTCTTAAAGTGCTTCATCTTAGTGTCTCTTGTATGTCTCAATTCGCCCCCCCCCCCCCCAGACACAAAAAAGCTTTCCACCCCACAACAATATCAAGTTCTAAGCAACGCCTCCTTTATTTTTTTTAAACACCAGTCCGAACGCGCGTTTCGCAACGAGAGCCATCTGTTCGACTTAGTTAAGGAAGTCGTCGGGATGCGACGCTACATGATAGGTTGCGCTAGAGTTATTGTACATGATATTTGTCGGTAGCAAAGTTGGGCGACCGTTTCCCAACGCTACTAGCAACCATGCACTGCGGAGAAGCTGATGCACAGGCTGCACCTAGAAATATGGCCGCACCTCCGAAAGCCCTCGCCGTGCAGCTGGAATTCATCAAGTGACCATCTTGTGCTTTATTTATTGATTGATATGTGGGGTTTATCGTCCCATAACCACCACATGTATATGAGAGACGTCGTAGTGGAGGGCTCGGGAAATTTTGACCACCTGGGGTTCTTTAACGTGCACCCAAATCTGAGCACACGGATGTAAAACATTTCCGCCTTTATCGGAAATGCAGCCGCCGTAGCCGGGATTCGATCCCGCGACCTGCGGGTCAGCAGCCGAGTGCCTAAGCCACTAGACCACCGCGGCGGGGCGACCGTCGTGTGCTCTACAATTCGTTAGCTATGAACTGGCGCATTTATTTCGTTTATATTCGTGTCCTCAAACTTCGACAGTAAAGTATTTGCGTGAATTCCGCACTATTTTCGAAAAACATACTGAAATGATCGACGCTGTAGGCTTAGCAAGGCTCTCTCGGAATCTCGGATGACATATATTTTGTGTATGTAAGTTGTTGTTTATCCTTCATAGCGGGTGTCACTGGACTTGGCGGCAGCGGCGCTACATGATATTCGGCACTAGGCTACACCTTTGCAATTTGCGTTACCGGACAGACGAACGAATCTTTTAAATGCAATTGCATTTCTTAGTCGGGCTTAGCCGCAGCGTCTCGGGCAGGTGTTACCTCTCCGCTCTGAGTTTTCTCTCATAGCAACAGCTGAGGGCGCATGCGCTTATCCTCGAACATAGCAACCGAAGCATATGGTGTGAGATAGTGTAGGGGAGGGTAGATGCAGTACTTCACCGCTCCTCGCCGTTCGCTTTTCTGCCTTCTCCCCACTCTCCCATCCGCTCGTGCCACACTCTCGACAGCTCGCTGACTGGGCCAACACCGACTAAATTCCAAGGCCGAAAGGCTGCCGCAGTGACGTCAGAGGGTGGAGGCCCAGTTACGCCGCGAACGCTGCGGAAAGCCGGTGTTTCGTTCGCGTTTTAGGAGAACCAACGCTCCCGCTCTCGCAGCTGCTGCGGCTTGATTGGGCCGAATAAAAGATGTGGAAAAAAAGTCTTACTGAGCATGCTCAGTTGGGTAACTGGGCCTCCACCCTCTGACGTCACTGCGGCAGCCTTTCGGCCTTGGAATTTAGTCGGTGTTGACTGGGCGCCTCTCAAGGACATCTGGAAATGTATGCTTGAAACGCAGCTGTATGCTTGATATGTATGCTTGAAACGCCGAGCCGACTACGCTGGCGCCCTAGTCTTCCATCCAATCGCCCCCCACTCTCGACAGTTCGCTGGCTGTGCGCCTTTCAAGGCGATGGCAGAAGTTGATGAAGGCAAATGTCTGGCGGCAACAGTGTGCTCTCTCGGTGCAAGAAATGCATTCGCATTTCCTCACGATTCCCTTCGGCGAGGGCGAGTGGGGGGAACATTTTTTTAAAGACGATAGTCTATCTTGGGAACCTTCGATGGACAAATTTCGGTCTGTCTAACTGTACATATGTCTGCTGTTCGGCCTTATCGATACCTCACGTGGCACCAAACGGCCAACCCCATCCGCAGCGCCCACCGAAATTGCTCAAGGTTTAGCGTACATAGTTGTGCGATTGTCAAAGTAAAAAGCGAATGTTGCGCATATCTGAGACGCTATAACAGCACGTCTATGTTTTTTATGTCTGCCTTTATACTAGAAAAGACACACACAAGTAACTCTAGGAACTGTAGCGTTTATCGCGCTGCGCTGACAGTAGAACGCCATGATCAAAAAGGTGTTTCTAACGCTTTGCTACGACGACATGGTGGTGGCACCTGCCCGTCACTTTGCGTTCTACACCATTTCACCTCCGAGACTGGCGCGCATCTTTCTCATCGGGTGCGCATGCCTTCGTTTACGAAGATAACTGCCAGATGGCGCTTGTGTCTACCGTGCCTCGATGCGCTCGTTCGTCTCCGCTACACGTTCGAGGCACTCTAACGCGACGCCTCCAGGATACCATTCACCGATTTTCTTGCGCAGAACATCAAATAAACGTTTTGTTCACTCTCTCCAGACGCAAGACTATCGTCTTTCGACGACATTTGCGGTGTGATGTGCAGAATTGGGCCTTTTTTTTTACTCCCATGGCACTGTCCCGGCAGCAGGTGTTCCTTCTTTCTTCGCCGGTCCTTGACACGCCAGGCACATCACCTGGCGATCAGCGACGTGCTTCGTAAATCGGCGACGGGCTTAAGCAAGTCGCCTACAAAAAGAGAGCGTAGCTTCACCGGGTAACTATGGTTACTAGCCAGACAAGATGGCGGATCTATGCGCAACTCTGCTCACATAGGAAGCATGTACAGGAACTCGCTGCTTGCGTCGCAAGTGCTTCCAAGCGTTTCTCGCCGGAGATGCGATAGACGTGTTTGCCACTCCAATATCATACGTCTGTCAGGGTTGTTCTCTCATGCTCCTTCTTTTTGGCTAGAAGCAATGCTGCCACCACATTTATGTCAGCGCATGCAGTAGCGTTGCAGTGACACTTCTCAATTGGTTGCTCGCACAGCGCCCCGAATGGCGACACAATGTTTTAAAACATCGTATATTTTACAGAGCCAGCGTGACCACCAATATTATGAACAAGAGAGATGCAAGACGCCGCCCCCGTAGACCTACGCTGGGTAGGCTCCTCTGACACTCCACCACCGCACGGAGGTGGAGCACGGAGGTATACGGAGGAGGAGTTTTTCTCCTCCTCCTCCGTATACAAATGGACAAAAATTATTTTATATATTTACCGTCGGGAGGCACTGCGTGAGGGGTTCTTACTACATGACCGCAAAACACACACGAAGGCTATGCAATGTGCGAGAGCAGGAAAGGAATAAAGGAGAGGGTGGTGAACAGCTGGATCGGGCTGGCATTGATAAAATAGAGGAGGCGTTGATCTGAGTTAAAGCCACGCTTATTACAGTTGATCCTACTAGGCGAAAGAAGTGGCCGAGGCGTCCGCAGTTTACTTATGCAAATGCGGGTGACTAACCACCAACTTGGCTTCCGTGAAATATATGGAAAAAGATCCCAACACAAGCGCATAACAAAAGAACCAATGACGAGAAAGCAGCTAATGAAAATTAAATCAACAATTATTGCCAGATGAGGGACGTCTTGTCCTGATTTCAAAGAATTATTACCACATGCTACTTGTGTGATTTGTTGCTATTGTTTCCATTTCTATCTTCTGTCTATGCGCAGTGATGTTGTGACATAGACTTACTTGTAGTGGCCTATTGCACGGACGCTCACTCTATTGTGTTCTCTGTTTCCAGATGATAATAATCGCATTTGGGACTGCGTCATTCATAAATCCAAATGCCATTTTCAGCCCCGCTGCCATGTTTTCATGCGTTTATATGCTCACAATTATGGACACTTTATCAACAGGTGCTCCACACGTTCTCAGGCTGAAGAGTTCGGTGAGTGAACAATGTTTTCAGTGTGCTATAGGAGTCAAATATATCGAAGTGCTAAAAAAAACATGCCTCATGATTCAGCGATACGAGCAAGACAACTTCGTTTGGTAACATTGGCGTGACTAAATCAGAGCTCTTTTCATGACCTTAGCTTTGGTAAGTGAACTGGGAAGTAGTTACCACCGATTAAATTAGGCAAAATGTTCTTTGTCATATAAATTTATTTTTGCATTCCGTACCCCAAAATTAGCATATATATCAAGAATCTTGCGTTTGCTGGTTTCTGCGGAGGACAATTAAAAAAATTACGAAACATCTACGCACGCTTTCATACTTATACTGAACGTTTTTTCAGTATGATCAGATACATTCAGAGATATTTAGCGTATTCCGGAGGATCTACTAGGCCTCACACAAAGTGACATAGCGTTCGTAGTCCCGATTGCAGCGCCAAAAATCTCGAAACCAAAGCTCTTCTCCCGCATTTTGAAAACCATAATTTCTCCTGTTCACACTGGTGCTAGGATTTAGTCCCGGTAGCACACATTGTTTCTGCAATGTGGCAGCACTATCACCCTCTAATACGGCCTAAACACGGCTAATAACGGCTTTAGGCAGCGTACCTTCAACATACATAGCGAAAACAACCTGCACGCGCGGCGATTAACGATGCCGGTAACCGTAGTACTGCCACTCACGAGCAAATGCACCGCTTTTCACTTCGGTTTCACTTTTACACGCCACTTGTACCTGCGGCACCACAGTGCGAGATTCAACTCGTGAGCATAATTTATCCTAGTACATATTTAGCAAGAGTTATTAGAAAGACCTGTTTTAAGTATACGCAGTACACGCGCACACGCCCGTTCTTAGGGCGACAAGCAGGGCTGCAATGACATGTATCATATAGACAAACAGCTGTGAAATGTTTTAAAATTGTGCATGCCACAAAAATAAGACCACTTTTGTAGGAAATATCCGCAGTTGCGCACTACTGTCTTCTACTTTATCTATTTATCAGACATTGGATCACTACTCAAACACGCCAACAACATACGATACAGACTAAAAGGCAGCGCCAGTCTATTCGTTAGCACTTAACTGTTAGCATTTACTTTTCATGCAGTGAAATCACCCGCGACGTATGCACTCAACGTAACTATCACGTAGAAGCAGCCCATTAGTTCGCAAAACAGGAGCGCTCAACTCTTCAGTTGAAAGGAAACGTCTAAGTAGGAGTAGGAGTTCTAACCCTCAAAATGAGCAAAAGATCGACAGTGCGGGCATTTCGAAGCCAACAAGCGAGACAGGAAGAAGTTAGGAAGGAATAAATGCATTAGATGGAAAATAATTCACAGCACTAAACCGACATAACTTCGTAAGGCCAGAAGTTCAAAGCCGCGCCGCTTTTTATTTTAAACAAATATGAATTTTCAAAGAGTTAAGCAAAGGCCAGACGAGTCACAAGTACTGAGAAGGTTAAAACTGATCGGCCGCTACGTGGTTATCTACAGTGCTAAAAAAGTGGAACAGAACCCGCTACTCAGAGAGAGCGCAGCAGCCAAGCATGTAATGACAAAATTTGTTCGAATGCTGATGCCGGGCCATTCCCTAAGGTATGTTTACTTAAAACGCACCATGAAGGAATCGTTAAAAAAGGGTCTGGGGTGCGGCCTCACAGGTGACCACCTGCTGGTAATGCACTCACTCAAAGAAGCAGAATTAACCACCGTAATGCAGTGCTTTGCCACTACCTCCCTTATGAACGTACAAATTATTTCTTGGCACTCACTTCCCAGCGGCTCCGAAGCAACTGTCCAAAGCGGTGGTCAGACCTGCGACGTAGCGGAGGGTGCTAAGAATCTCTGGGTCCAGAGAGGCCACCATCGGAATCTAAAGTAGGCTACATTTCACGCTAAAACGCTATCTAGTAAGGCTAGTCTCGCTCAGCTATTCGAGGCATTAGAGAGTGGTAAATAGGATGTAATAGGACTCAGAGAAGTTAGGAGGACGCGTGGGGCTTATACGGTGCTCGAGAACGGACACGTTTTATGCTACCGTGGATTAGCGGACAAAAGAGAACTAGGAGTGGGGTTCTCATACGCAATATTGCTGGCAACATAGAGGAATACTATAGCATCAGTGAGAGAGCGGCAAGTATTGTAATGAAGTTTAACAAAAGGCACATGATGAAGATGGTACAGGCCTACGCGCCTACATCAAGCCATGGGATAGTTGGGTTTAACACTTCTACGAAGACCTAGAGTCAGCAATTAATAAAACCACATTATATTATTCTGATGGGTGACTTTAATGACAAAGTAGGCAAGAAACAGTTCAGAGACCAGGCAGTGGGGGAATATGGCATCAGCTCTAAAAATGTCAGAGGGGAGTTAGTAAAGTTCGCAAAACCTAATAGTTTACGACTCTTGAGTGCCTTTTTCAGAAAACGGGCTAACCGTAAGTGGACGAGGCGAAGTCCCAATAACAAAACTAAAAATGAAATAGACTTCTTTCTGCATGCACAACCACGCATTGTACAAGATGTACAAGTAGTTGGCAAGATCCGATGCAGTGACCATAGACTGGTAAGAGCTGGTATTCACCTAGATTGACAAAAAAGCATATGCATAAACTGATACGCTAGAAGCGAATAGTGAGAAAGCGGTGAGACTAAAAGTACAGGAATTTAGAGTTTCTCTTTAAATATATTCGAGGCACTAAACGAGGTAACTGACGTTAACGTAGACACAATGAACGGTAAACTGAAGATTATTATCAAAACGCGTACAATGCAAGTCGAAGGTAGATTAACTAGACAGGACACTGGCAAACTATCTCAGGAAACACAAAATCTTATTAAGAGACGACAAACCATGAAAGCCTTAAACGCAACCGACAAAATAGAGCTAGTAGAACTTTCGAAATTAATAAATAGGCGTAAAGTGGCCGACAACAGAAGGTATAACATTGAGAGAATCGATCAGGCTGTAAAAAGTGGCAGAAGCCTGAAAGCTGCGAAAGTAAACTTTTGTATTGGCAAAAAAAAAATCTGATGTATGCGTTAGGAGACAAGGAAAACAATGTCTTAAGCAATATGAATAGGATAGTGGAGATGGCGGAGCACTTCTACAGAGAGTTGTACAGAAGCCAAAACAACCAGAATGATAACGTACGAAGCATTAATAGCTATTCTGTACGCTCTTCGCAAGCTATATACAAAAATATTAGCTTATAGAATTTAGGAGACAATAGAGTTCACTCAATCAAAGAACCAAGCGGCATCTCGCACGGGTACTCCACAATAGACCCTATTCATCTCATCAATCAGGTGATAGAGAAATGCGCGGATTGCAACTGCCCAATACAAAGCTTTCGTAGGTTACGAGAAAGCGTTTGACTCAGTTGAGGCAACAGCAGTAATGCAGGCACTACGAAATTGAGGCTTCAATGAACCCTACATAAACATACATGAAGAAATTTACAGCGGATCTTCAGCCACCTTAGTTCTCCATAAAGGAAGCGACCAAATCTCAATGAAGAAGTGTGTGAGGCAGGCAGACACAATCTCTCCAATGCTATTCACCACGTGTTTATAGGGGGTATTCAGGGCCCTAGATTAAGGATAGTGAGGGATATGGTTAATGGAGTGTATCTTAGTAACCTGCGATTCGCTGATGACCTTGTCTCGATGAGTAATTCAGGGAATAAATTACAGCTTATGTTTCCAGAACTGGACACGCAAAGCAGAAAAGTAGGTCTGAAAATAAATATTCACAAAACTAAAATAAGGTACAACAGTCTCGGCAGAAAACAGCACTTTGCACTAGGTAGAGAGACGCTGGAAGACGTAAAGAAGTATGCCTACTTAAAACAGGGGGTAACCTTGGAGCCAAGCTATGAGAGTGAACCATGAGAGTAAGAAAGGGGTGTATTCGGCAAGCATTCTCCAGTCATGAACGGTAATCTGCCACTAACCTTCAAAAAGAAGATAGACAACAGCTGTATCGAGCCGGTATTTACGTACGGAGCAGGAACATGGAGGTTTGCAAAAAGAGTTCAGCTTAAATTGAGGACGACAAGTCGAGCGATGGAAAGTAAAATGATCAGTGTAACCTTAAAAGAACAAAAGAGGGCAGAGTTGGTCAGGGAACAAACTGAAGTTAAAGACGTCGTAGTTGAAATCGTAAAGAAGAAATGAACATGGGCCGTGTACATAGCACGTAGGCAGGAAAACCGCTGGTCAGTAATGGTAACTCACTGGATTTCCAGAGAAGGTGAACGCACGAAGGGGAGACAGAAAGTTAGGTGGGCTAATGAGATTCAAAGTTTCGCTGGTATAGCGGAGCAGCGGAGAGCGTAAGACCGGGTTTATTGGCGGATCATGAGAGAGGCATTCGCCCTGTGTAGACAGGCTGCTGCTGCTGCTGCTGCTGCTGCTGCTGATGATGATCTACAGCTTCAGCGACTTAGTGACAGCCTTGTGTCTCAATATGGACCAACATCTGCGAATATTTGACAAGGTGGCTTAAGGATAAAATTGGAACGGTACCTCAAAATTAATGGCGCACTATTAAACGTTAAACGTGGAGCAACATCTTAGAGCGGGACCAGAACGCTGACAATGTTGCGCGACGTTGAACACAATTCGAAACATTGCGCCAACTATTCGCACTACCAGGAATCACACAGCTGATTTTTGCGCACAAGTTCTTGTGTTGAAGCCATAAAATTTGTTTTGGTGAAGGAACGTCTACATAGGCATGCCCGACAAGTTCGCGAATTTGAAGATATACCACCCCAAAGAAAATTTATGTGGGTTATGGAACACCTGCCATGATTTGAGAGACTAAGTGGTAGAATACATTTTTCTCCAACAATATTCTGCTCTTTCAGATGTTGTGAATTTACAACTAACAAGGAATTAGAATGAGCTTTCTTGTTGATGAAACAGGGGTATATGTTTTGTTGACCCTGCTTCGCACAAGTGTGTATGTGCTTAGAGCACATCAAAAAGTTAAGAAAATAGTAAAGATAACAAATTAGTGGACTCTTGGCTAATAAGCCTGTCAGTTCACGGGGCCGCTGCCATGAGATTTTACGGAGGAGCTTTTAGAGCCAGTTCCAATGAACGCAGTGTCACCGCCACCGTAGCGGTGGTGTGTCAGCAGAAATTGAAGAAGCCCCAGTACTCGCCTTCAACTAAAAACGAAGAAGGTGTTTATGACAAGCCTAGCTGATATGTACACTTTGTTTGCCGGAGAACTGCCGTTTTCGAACGTGAGTAGCAGCTACAAGTACTATCCATTTCCCCCGACTCTTCCTTAGATTGATGGTTGCGTTATAATTCCGGAGAGCATCAAAGACAGTCTACGTTGACAGCCTAATGAAGACAGCATCGAGCCTACGTTGTCAGAATAATGTAATGCGTGTAAAAGACGTCTACATGACGTGACACCACCTAGCTTGCGTTGAGAAGAGAAAGCTAAGAAAAACGAACGTAACTGCTATTCGTCTGATTTTTTTTTCGCGCACGAATGTACGACAAATTGAACGTAGCTGACAACAGGAGCATGAAAAGCACCTGCTTGCAACCAAACGACCATACCAGTGAGATCGAAGCTCTCCGAGAACTTGGCTGAGCCGCCGTCTTGTTTGGACAGCAATGTAGCCTGCATCGCTTTTGTCAATAAGGCTGCCATCTTGAAGCAGTTTGTTTAGCTGGCTAGGAGAAATTCGTAATGAAACTTAAGATGGCTGTCGTCTACTTAGCTCTCTATTTAGCCGTCTGCCATGAGTATTGAAACACACGCAATGAAATTAAGGAACGATTGATTTCATCTCGCCTATGCTTTACGTGTATACGTATACGCTGACTAATCGCAGTGAACAATATAGCATACGAAGTCAAATAGGGAATGTGCCCATAAATGTTCAGGCTACTAAGCACTAGCTTCCCAGAGACATATTTGACGATATTGCAAGAAGAAACCACTAAGACATTTGAGCTTGTTTAAGCTGATGTGCTGCCTTCGAAATGTTTTACAAAATGACCTCTTATAGGAGATGGCTTCGCTCTTTCATCAGTCTTCACGACCAAGTGAAGGAAGCTTGTGCCTTACCATCCCTGTGCATTAGTCTGTTTGACGTTAAGTCAGTTAAAGCCATGCGTTTTTTTTACTCTGCAACAGGACTGAAAAGGTCTGTCTTAGAATACCCGTGAGACGGGTATTTTAAAGCCCATTTATCATAGTCATCATGATCACAACAGAATCAGGTACTGTCTTTGGTATAGGCGCTCATGTCGGTAACGTTCACAACTGGGAGTGTGCCGGCGATTTCGATGTAGAGGCGGCGGAAGAGTGTACCGATGAAATGGTAGCTCAAGGGGACTTTCTTTAGTTTATCCACATGGTGGTATCATCATTTTTTTGATTGTGACATAGACTTGTATTTAAGTTAGAATATTTTTGCGCGTGTGTGACTTAAATTGTCGTATCACCTGCGCTATGCCTCTAAGGAGTTATGTGCACGTGGAGATATCACAGGTCTACAACCGAAATTACCATGCTTACTAGTGTGAAGGGTCATTGAAATTACTTTGCTTTGTTATGTTTAAGGTGTACCGCAGCTGCAAGAGGGTGATGTCTTTTTTCAAAGAGGAAGAGTACAGTAAGGAAGAAGCCGAAAGTAGACATGCTCCTAACATTCCAGGTAATAAACCGCCACTGTTTAATTCTATATCATGGGAAAATTATGAAAAATAGCATTGCTTTGATGTGATACGCAGTCAACAGTGCTGTTGGACATTTTATCAATATTTTAAGGTGATCAGTAGCGTTCTTTGTAATACGTGATGTTTAACAGCTCAGGTAAACTATTATATACATGAAAGCAACGCTGCTGAATCCATAAAGTTCAACAAGTCGGCTGATAGAATATTCTTAAATGATTACATCCTAGTTGGCGAAAGTATAATGACACTTTGACTCGGGCGAGTCGGTACATACTCGTATTAAGTGCAAATAAACTCAGTTAAACGTTAGCGTTCATCTGTGTTCTGTGTGTCTCCTGTGTTCATCTAAATTGCACTAAACCTCGTCGAGGTGCAAATTTACTCTAAAGCATCACAACTCCTCCAGACGAAAACGGCGACCCTGAACACAAAGTTATATGAAAGTAATGTCCAGCATAGGAGGTAGCCGATATGCTCAATTTCGGTTTCCGCATAATTATTTCAGTTGCACTAACTTATACTGATAGAAGTATAACACTTTCGTCTACGTGATTTAGCAGTCATTAGAAACAACATGAGTTAAACTGCACACACGTGTAATCGTTTGAGCAACGTCCACTTTTGAAAAATCCCAGTTCTTTCCGAATGTTCCTGCTGCCTTATAGCTTTTATACGTATAAAAAGTTGATCACCAAATTTGTTTTATTTTATGAGTTTAGGTTTTCCTGCGTTATCCTTATATGGTGCCTTGAATTTCTGCTTTGGAGCGGTGAGTTTTGTTTGGTGCACGTTAATTCGCAATTGATCATTTGTGGAAAAAAGAGCGTTACCTGTCGTGTAAACAGGAAAGCTTCACTCGTGCTTTTCGTTGGAAACGTATTCGCCAACTAACATGCACAAGGCTATGTTCAGTGGTTCGCACGTACTTGTTTTGTTGCTTTAGTGCTAGGTGCCCATTATTGAAAAAGCTTGCTAGAGGATCAAGATATTTCGTTTAAGTGTGTAGAAATGAGATGAAGCGAGGATTTTTCGCGTTCCAGCCAGAGTAAGCTCCAAGTGTGGTCCTGCCTCCACTCCGCTACCTCGACTGTTCGTGAAGCTCATGGCGGCTGTTCCATCAAAGAAGAACGCTTTGTTAGACACTCGAAGTTGTACCTTCAAACGGGTGACGACAAACTAGGTTTGGCAAAGAGTTGTGCGCACCGTGTATGAAATGCTGTAGGCCGGTGTGCTCAGTTTTGGGTGCACGTTAAAGAACCTCAGGTGGTCGAAATTTCTGGAGCCTTCCACTACGGCGTCTCTCATGATCATATGGCGGTTTTCGGACGTAAAGCTCCACGTATCATTCAATCAAAACGTGTATGAAGACCGGTGTTTATATGACAACGTCAGGGTTCGTCGTTACTACGAACGGGTCGCATCGTTAGAGCGCAATGTGACTGTGTTGCTGTGCACAATATTTTTTTACATTGGCGTCTCTCCTTCAGATCACCAAAAGATGAATTGACAATGTAAAGGAATGTGCGTCTATGCGTTCGCGAGTATAAATGTATTGTATGCAATTTTCTAATACGCAACATTACTCTTTCTTGATTTATTGATTGATTTGTGGGGTTTAACGTCCCAAAACAAGTATATGACTATAAGAGACGTCGTAGTAAAGGTCTCCAGAAATTTCGACCACCTGGCATTTTTTAACGTGCACCCAAATCTGAGCACACGGGCCTACAGCATTTTCGCCTCACACAAAAGTGCAGGCGCTGCAGCCGGAATTCGATCCCGCGAACGGCGGGTCAGCAGCCGAGTACCTTAGCCACTAGGTTACCCCGGCGGGGCAGCATTACTCTTTCTTCACATGACAATTACAATGCGGGGGGCTTACTTCTCGAAACGACTATGTAAATTTGAGAGACGCCATAGCACACATACTCCAGAAATTTGGACCATTTAAAGTTCTTTAACTGCACTGGTATTGCAGAGTATACAAGTCTCGAGCATTTCGCCTTCATCGAAATGCTACCACCGCCGCCGGAAATGTACTTCATATAACAAAACTTTCCCCCCAAACATAAAGCGGCTGTGGATGCAGCTGTCAGCATTATAATAAATTCTCCGTGCTCCTATCTCAATAATGCTTAGCGCACATACTTAGAGAGCATCACCGCGTGCCAACGGCAGTATTTCGCGTTCCGTTAGGGGCGCGGGGACTTTGTTGTGCGGCAGTGTCACTACACAGATTCGACAATGTTTGTTCCACAAGCTGCGAAAACAAGGCCACCCGACCAGGGGGTGCCACCAGCACCATTACTCCTCATGCGCAGAAGTTTTCTCACAAATGGCCAACAGTGGTGAACTGTCTAACGGCAGTGATAGAAAGAGCGCAAATAATGGAATGAAGCTTTTATGTTGGCGTCTGATGCCTCGTAACATTCGTTGAAGATTGTGTCACGTGTTAATGTAAAGCTTTAAAACAAACATAGGTATGGTGGCATAAAATGTGGCGACGAAAACAGCCCATTCATACTTTTATGTACATTAACAGAACATTTCAATCGTATGTAAAAAAAAGAATAGACATTAAGTGAGAATAACTTTAGTTTGTCGATGATTTTTATGTATTCGATCACAGAACTGATAATGAAGTGAGCCGGTGTGTAGAGCATGTTGAAGAAGCTGTTCGAGGTGACAATATATTTCTAATAAATTATATGACGAAAAAAATTAATATGAAGAAAAATAGGACAAAAAGCTACCAGCATGGTGCTCACCTCAGAGAACTACTTTCTCTTCATTTTTTTGGTACACGTGAGCCCCGTGGGCTGAATTCAAAATGGCGCAATATTTCATTGCTCTCGGCAATTTTACACAGATGACGCTATTTTGTTTGGACTTGAATGTGACATCTTAAGTTTGATTGCGTCTTGCTGCCGCCGTCCGCAAGGTCCGCTAGACGGTGGACCCGATGTATATTTATGGATATACCACACGTAGGTGCTGTTCCTACTATGTTGATAGTGCCTAAGAGCATATTGTATGAGTAGCTAAGCTTAAGGACTATAAAAATAACAAGATTTACTTGCACCAAAAGTGAGCAGTTGACTCGTATTACATGGTGTCCACCTCAGTTGACCACCTCATATCTTTTCAACAAAATTGTACTCTTTTGTTTATTGCGAAAAGATCGTTTTTTGCCATATATTACGCCTATTTTTTTTAATAAAACTCTGTTTCTCACCGAAAATAGAGTTCTTTACATGAAAGCGTTAACAAAAACCTTCCAAAAACGCATAAATTACTATGCAGTGGGTGAGGTCGCATTGAAAGACTGCTCTTTCGCTTGGTGCAAGAGGAATGACATTGTGGACAGTCCTGCCTTGGACGGTGTGAACTTGCTGGTTGAGAGTGGCTCGCTTGTTGGCGTCGTGGGCACAGTGGGCAGCGGCAAGTCATCTCTCCTGTCGGCCATCGTCGGTGAGATGAGGCATCTCAGCGGCTCTGTCTCCCTCAACGTGAGTGTGTGCAATATTGGTGCTGTTTTACCATCAGTACATGATTGAACGCTGTAGCATTGAGCATTCGGCATGGTTGTTGATGCTGGCTAGTGAGCTGGCAACTTCATGCTCACAATCCAAGCGCTGTAACCGCAGGACAGCTTGGTAATAAAGAAAGAAAAGTTATTAAGGTGACAGCCAAGCCTGACCAAACGCGAATCTTGACCGTGGGCGTCCAGTGGCGTCTGGGGCGAATAATACGAGAATTCGCCCCCCCCCCATCCCGATGACATCTTCATATTACGTCGCTTTCACATTTAAAAGCTTGTGACGATGTTATGACGCCTTCATGCCACTGACGTGACGTCACATGACGTAACGGCGCGTGATGAAGTCACAGGGCATCGTACTTCGATGAAAAATGGGCCAATCCCGGATACATGAGGCTGTGGAAAACTGTCTTAGTTGCAGAGAATTTTCGGGTGTTGGTGGGGAAGGATTAGAGCATGCACTGCGAAGTAAAAAGATGATGATTTTTGCCTTCAAGTCGTCTGAGGTAAGAAATATCAATGACAACAATATCGTTGGTTTAACGTCTCAAATTCACGATATAATTATTAGAGGCACTGCATTGAAGTGCTCCGGAAATTTCTACCACCTGGTGTTCTTTAACGTGCACCTAAATCTAAGCACATGGGTCTACAACATTTCCGCCTCCATCGGAAACGCAGCCGCCGCAGCCGGGATTTGATCCCGCGACCTGCGGGTCAGCAGCCGAGTGCCTTAAAAGCTATTGACCACCATGGTGGCACTGTCGTCTTTAATGAATGCATGGGTGACCATCGTAGTTTCACCGCCATGAAAACATTGTCCTGAAAAACGAGTTTATCTCTGAAGACGATTCGCGTTTTATAAGAAAAAGACGGTACTACTCGTTGGGCTACTGCAGTTGACTGTGAAAACAACATTCACATGAGACCCACATGGTTTGTAGAAATTCACTCAACTTTTGCGTAGCGTTTCTATGACTATAGCGGCTTCGCATAGTTTGGCCAATGTTGTTCAGAGTGAAAGGATGTGAACGATACCGAGACTTTAAAGATTCGGCATTAGGGTCGAAAAAAACTGTGACGTTCCCAATGTGTGAGAATTTCACTTCGAAAAAAAAAAGGCAGATTCCATGTACCTGAGAATCGACATTGTGCGAAGCATGAGGAGAGAATTGACTGTGTTGCAATTTTTTTATTGAGTGACACGCTTTAAAATGACGCAAAATTTAAGTACAAATGTCGCATGCACATATATATGTTGAAAAGTTGCAGATGTTTACATAAGCAGTTGTTTGCCCTTGCGCAACCAATATGTCAACTGGAACATGCGTATTAGCAACACCAGAAGCTGATATGACAACTGATGCTCGCGAGACTGCAGGCCCTGGGCACTGCTCCATAAATCAACTTTAATGCATGTAGACTACCCACAATTGAGATTAATCCAACGTGACGGCTGTATCAGAGGAGTACACATGTAATGTTTATAAAATTGGGTAGGCCGCACTGCAACCACTATTGACGTTTCATGAAAATTATCGTCTATTTGAAAATGACCTAGCGTAGCTCTGTGGTAGAATGTTTCATTGCAACACAGAAGGCTTGGGTGTGATTCCAGTTGGGACTATGACATTTATTTTTTGCATTCTTCAGGTCGACGCTATTGATGTCAGGTATTTCTTAATGCTCGAGCGTTAAAACCACTCATGTGTGCTCTCGTTGTTCCTAGGTAGATACTAAGTGCCAATCTGGGTAGACAATAAGTGGCACATACCCGCACACTAGCGGCACATACCCACCTGTGGCTATGTGCCGCTGCCTGGCGGGAAGTGTTCAACGACGTACGCAGCGGGATTGTGACATTATTCATGTCTTGACCAGCGCGTCATATTCGTCAAACCATATTACTCTCCCATGTTAATTTTAGTTCACGCTAACTTAAGGGGTGACCACAAGATCACCTTAACGTAAACGGCTGTATAGATAAAAAATACGCTTAAAGCACGGAAGTTCGCTAAGAAACGCTTCGCATTTAATATTTGACCACAGTACATAAAATTGTGGCCCTCGTCGAAGGGCATGTTATCGAGGCTCAGGTTTTTGTCATACGGTTTTTGTTACATAAAAAATCACCGTTATATCAACAAAGCGAATTATGCTAGAAGAGCTTGCTCGGAGGTGCTCGGAGCGTTTCTTGGCGAGACCATTTTTGTAGGAAAGTTTGTGAACGAGCCGCGGCATGGTGTGTACGTCGAAGGCAGCGTCGTCGGGCACGTTCCGCAGCTGTCACTGAACAGTGTTGGCCACGTCGATCGGCACGTTTACCACCTGCCCCTTTGTGCCACACTGGCCGCTGCCATGAGTCAAATGCCCAACACTCATAAATGGCAAACGTGGAGCTATCAGGCGTTCTTGAACGTGGTTGACAGCAGGCAGGTGAGGGGGCTTGGGAGGATATCAGTACCCGTCCGTGACACTCAATCGTCGTAACTTGTCATGTGCTGCTGTGCCTAGGAAGAGACGAGAGGGAAGTGTACGTAGACAGTCGCGAGGAGACGAGCGCGCGGGCCATCGAAAGCCGATGCCGGGTGGTGGCGGGGCATCTAGCGAGCATTGTTGGAATCACCGGAGAAACTACTGGAGCGGCGACATTGAGCGGCGACCCGAGAAGTGACGACTGGCAACACACACTGGCGGCCGCCGGACAGGGCGCTAGCTTCAGGAGCAAGCTCCTAAAAGAAGAAATAAATAAAATGTCTGGGCTCTTGAGCGGGTGCGTTTATGCGCTGTGTATAGTGATAAATGCAGGTTCTCACGGATGATATAAACAAAAAACCGTTGTTCTGAGAGTCTGCGACCATTTCGTTTGGCCGCTAGCCACATTACCGGGTGATCTTTGTTCAAAACAAATGCTCATCATGCATAAGATTGATCAATTATGAAACGAGTATTGTGAATTAGTAGAAGAGCTGAGTGTCCTCCCTCCCCCCTTTTTTTTGCAGGGCTCAATTGCTATTGTATCTCAAGCGCCTCAAATACTAAACATGAGCCTACGAGACAACATAACATTCGGTAGGAAGTTTGATCAGCTGTACTATGGCAAAGTTGTAGAAGCTTGTCAACTGTCGCGTGACATTAACAGGATGGCGGCGGGTGACTTCACTGAAGCTGGCGACAAGGTGAGATTTGCTGGAAGTCTGCTGACCGTGTTACTTTGAAAATAACAGTTTTTGCAACAAAATGTGGTCTAGTCTCAGAGTGTGACTTGTAGATAATGCTATTCCATCTAACTATAGACACAAGGGCTGAAGCGTATAGGTAAAAGGTAAATCAGACATTGTCCCATGCATACATCAAAAACTTTCTTGAAGAGCTCGTTAAGTTCGAACTAGCAGTGACAGTGTTGAAAGCGATATGTATTTTTGGTTTTCGCATATGGGTGGTGCTTGTGATGTGGACGCAAGTATTTCGGAATGTTAGAAACGTTTCTGCTTTTTCGGCTTTTGATATTTGGACTTAAGGGTGGTGCATGTGACATGGATGGCAATATACGGGTTTTACTCAACACCAACCACAACTAATAGTGTCTTCAAAACAAGGAAACAATGGAATTCCATATCTTTATTTTTTATTCCTGTTGTTACGCGATGTGTTTTTATTCCCTTCACATGACTGATTAGGTAGAGTTTATGAGCGCAATAGCGAGACCATCATGTCACCCTCACGCTTTAATTATCACTTTAATATAAATAGCTTCTACGACTACAAAATTTGGGGGACCCTTAAGTTTCGCCTTTAGGATTTGAAAGCGATAGCGAAATCCGGCCCCTAGTGCACACTTCAACTGCTAAGTGCATACTGAATAATATGTTTTTTACATACACACGCACGCACACAATTACGCACACAGTAAATTGGACCAGCGCGCGCTATTATCGCCGATTGGGCTCGTTTTCGTCGTAACACCTGTCGAACAAAATGCGTTAAAGAGGCCCTGAAACACTTTTTCAAGTAACCATGGAGTGAATTCACCAGAAGAGCTCATTGCCTCACGAATTCAATGCCGTAGAAATTTTAAGAGTCTGTCCAGTGCGAGTGGAGTTACAAACATTTATCGCATGCTGTAATTGCATTATCTCTTCTCTGGTTCCGACGAAAGCGCTGGAAGTTAAGCAGGGAGGAGTGGCAGGGCAAAGAAACTACCGCGCCTCGTGACCTTGAGCAATTTTTTTTTCTTCGAGCGCGCGGCTTTTTCAGTGTGATCGTGCGTGCACGCGTGGACGAATAGCGGCCTCCCGAGGCTATCTCGGTAACTCGATTTTTTGGTCACCGACGCACAGACGATTTTTCGCTCACAATCAACGGGGCCGACGCTGGCGGCGGCTTTTCTGCGGCATGAGCTCTCTAATGCTATCGCGTTAAAATGCAGGGCGAAATGTTGAGCGGTGGCCAGAAGCAGCGGGTGGCACTAGCGCGTGCTGTCTACTCGCGCAGCGACATTTATCTGTTGGACGATCCGACCAGCTCTCAGGATGCTCGCGTGACGAAAGAAATCATGCGGCGAGTACTGGGACACGATGGAATCCTGGGTAACAAGGTGAGGAGGCGGCTAATTAAGGGTGCTAATAATGGTAAGGAAAGCTGAATAGAAGGAACACTCTTGCGACCCTGCCTATAACCAATGTTTAAACAAAAAATGTCCCTACACGAGAAATGCTGCTAAGAAAGTGTTCGAGAGTTTTCACCAGAGCTCACACAAACCCGTAAAAAAGGATTTTTAGCACCAAGTGGACCTTATACTCAGCTATCGCTTTCAAGATATTCCGTATATTAATTTAAGAGCTCGTTGAATGACTCTCTTATTGTTCGGAAGCATGTTACAGGGACACTGAAGTGGTTTCTCATTCGCAAATTAATTGTGAACTTTTTATTTGCGACTTTTTACAACATGCTACTGAAAGCTTTTTTTCGCGATGTTTGATTGAACAACGGTGCTATAAGTGAGGAAACTGTCATTCGGGGAACGCCCACGACTTGATCTTTGACTTGATTTTCATGTTTGCCACATGAAATTACGTTTCACATTACAAGTTATTTTTAAAAAAAGTGCTTTAGTGTCCCTTTAGATAACACAAGTTCTCTCATTCGCTACACTCGAGCAAGTTACACATATAACTCTGTGAGCTTGCGTTATGAACCTTCGTTATTAGTTTTGTAATGACCCATACTATAAGTATAGTGTTAGAATAGCTGGAAATTTGCAAGGCACGGATAATATTTTGTAAGATATTGGTAAGTTCTGTATTGTAAGGCAGAGGAGAGGATGTTTTTCAAAGTAATACAAATGCTTTATAAAACTCGTATGACAGTAAGGCTCCTGCCGTTTTCGCAAACGAACTCCACGTCGAAGCGAAAACACTTCTCCACAGTTAATGTAATACTGTACCAAAGCGACTAATTAACAAAAGTTCGTTAACGTTTATGTGTTGACTTGAGGACAGGTGTTTATACTACAATTGTAGTGGGCGCTCTTTCATGGCATACCTATTCCTTAGAAAGCGAAAACGATGCACTTAGTTCGGTTTATTTATCAGCGAACTAGACGGGCAAAACATGAAACTGATTGCGCAAGGCACGCATGAAGCGCGAAAGTTGCGCTATGCCAGACCGGAACTACCCGTCTCATGGGAGCGACAAAACTCGTATGGCGGCGCGCCATGGCCATATGTTTTCGTGAAAAGCGGCAAGTGATCTCGCTTGCGCCTCATTCAACCTAAAAAAATACGCTTTCTACAGTGACCGGAATTCTCCTGTCACCCAAACGCAGGTTCGTTGGCACTGGACGCACACCGCACCACCTCATTCGCCAAATATAACCATAGCGCGCCATCTACTGCTTGAGCATTCAACCATGGGGTGAACGCAGGATGGAACCGTTGCCGCGGCTCACAGACGCGAGCATGTATTGAAATCAGGTCGTGCAGTCTTTGATCTTTCGCGCACTTTCACTGCTAAAAAAAAGAGTATGCTGATGACTGGACAGGAAGATGCCGCACTGCTTTTTTTGCTTGCAAGTCACTGTCTTAAATTACACGAAAGAGCAGAAAAAAAATCGTCGACGTCAGTGGTGTTGCCGGGCTGGTCTTGGTTGGTTGGTTGGTTGGTCCCAAGAGGAATGTCTCAATCCACTACAGGGGATCGGCCATGAATCGCGCAGCAGTGGGATACAAAATAAATAAAATACAGTAAAATATATGAAATAGACTAACGACGATAATAAGTAATGAGTATGTACTTATGAGATTAGCATGGTAGCCGGTTTGATTCTTTTATATAGTTATATATGGCTCCATATATGTCCCTGTTGCAATGCCCTAGTTCCGAAGCCCCTAGGGAGAATAGTACCGTTTCAGACAGCTCCAGCCCCTGTTTTCGGAAAGCTGGTATTAGAAATTTTTTCCCTTAAACTTTGATACCTGCGGCATTCTGTGAAAAAGTGCTCTATAGTTTCTGTTTGTGTACACTAGTGACAATGAGGGGAAGGCAAAAAACCAGGTCTGTATAAATAAAAGTTTGAAGGTGGAATCCTGCATCGCAATTTAGTGAATGTCACTTCGAATTGTCTTGTTGCACACCAAGCGCTGTACCACTGAAACTTAAGGTGCTGAAGATCGGCGCCATTTAGAACAGAAGAGTTTGTGTGTTTCTGGCGTATACAGAAATTCCGAAATCGCGTGATTGTATAAAAGCAGCAGGGTCTTAGAATATTCAGGATGGGGCCCTGAATTGATTCTGCCGCCAGTGTGTCCGCCGCTTCATTTAGTATTAGTCCAGTGTGACCTGGCACCCAAACCAATCAGATAACACGAACGTGACTGGTTATATACGTACGGAATTCTAATAAACAAGGCGATGTTTTTGGTGGTGTCAGAGCAGTGAAAACTGACAAAGAATCAGTTAGTATAACAGCCGTAGAGATATTGTTGGTAGCTTGCGTATGGTCAGAATCACTGCCAGTAATTCTGCCTGGAATATTGGCGTAAAATTGGGCAGTCGCACTAAATCAGACCAATCTAATGCTGTTGAGTCCACTCCTGCTTTTTCGGCATTAACGGAAGCATCTGTGGCTATAACTGAACTTATCTGTAGGCTATTAGGTGGTCTCCGAGCAACCCATTCAAATATTTTATCGGCAAAAGTTTAGCATTGTTAGGAAATATATTGTCAAACTATATTCTGACCGTAGGATTCCGTACCTGTGAGATACTCATATCACGGATTTTTACCTCTAATGGGTGTAAGAGTTCTTCACATAAACTATTTGAGGTCGACGTAGCCAAGACCACTCACAATAAAAAATATGGAAGGCTCTCTTATAAATACATATTTGGAGCGTCTCTGTGGGGAGGCATAGATGTTCATAAATGTTTGAACAGCCAGTATGCGAAACCTGGTTTGTAGAGAGCGCAGATGTGCTTCATGATAAAGAACATTAGTAGCGACAAACTTAGGGAGGACTAAACATAGGCGCAATGCCTCACGCTCTATAGAAAGAAGCGGACGTAATTTATAAGTGGGTCCCATACAGAACAACACACATCCAAACTCTAATATTGGGCGGACATACATGCAATATGTCATCATCAAAGCTCTTCTACGCATTCCGATTCGACCATTGCTGATGCGCTTGAGCAACACAATGGCACGTAATCCCTTAGACGCAATATACTGAATATGTGAACTCCAATTAAGATTTGAAGTGTATATTATACCAAAATATTTTAATGAGTCAACCTGTGGAATGAAGTCCCGTACGTGCATCAATGCTATTCTGACAGGAGAACTCAATTGAAATGTAAGAAGAGCACTTTTTTAACATTAAGGGACAAGCGCAGGTCAGTAAGCCATACTTTAATAGCATTTAAATATGATTTTAAAATGTTGTACAACGAGTGTACGTCATTTGAAGCTGCAAATAAGGCTATATCATCTGCGTATACATATACTTGCACTTTATCGTGGGTAAGGATAGAGCTTAATGATATATTGAATAAAATGGGCGCGAGAACGCATCCCTGAGAAACTCGCCTTGTCTGTTTGTAATGTTGTGAAGATAGCCCATTCTGCGAACAATAAAATCTACGTCGATTTAAAAAATTTTGAATTCATGCAATTATATACTCGGGAACGTTAACACTTCGAAGTCTACTAATCAAGATGGCGTGCTCCACACTGTCGTACGCCTTAGCAATATCTAAAGTCACAAGAGTTGCGTATTACTTTCTGTGCCGAGCAAGTTGAATTCTAGCTTTCAGGTCAACATGCGCACACCATATAGAGTGCCCAGGTCTAAATCCAATTTGAGATTCACTCAATACATTATTTTGCTCTATCCATTTTTCAAGATGTAGATATAGAACCCATTCTATTAGCTGAACAAGATTAGAAGTGAGGGAAATGGGCCTAATGTTGTCTATAGCCTAACCAGCTCCCTGTTTTTTATGTAGTGGTGTTACTTTAGCAACTTGCCAGTCAGGATGCACCCAGGCATTTTCTATAGAAAAATTTATAATGTTAACGAGATCGCTGGGAGACAAATCAAACATAATTTTTATCATCGCTGTTGTTACGTTATCAGGACCTGAAGATGAAGCTGATAGTGATTGTACTACCTCTGATATTTCTTCTAGTGTTGTTGCATTGTATTTATTAGCTTTATCTGAGTCCGGCAAAGGGTGGGGTAGTACTGATGTAAAGCGATCTTCTAAACCTTTTCCGATCGTTTCCAATGACTGCGACAATTCTGCAGGTGATAAACAGATCGATTCCAGATTTATTGGTGTCGGAACAATCTTCTGTATCGTAAGAATCTAAAAAAAGCTTTCTTATTTTTTGTCTCCGACATATAACTGTAATGTCTAGAGTTGTACTCTTCTTTTGCTCTCTCAACCGTTTGTCTGAATATAGCTGCAACATATTTATAGTCTTTCCAGTTACATGGACACTGGTTGTAGATTAGTTTCTTCCAAGCTGCCTTTCGTCACCTATAATCGCGATCACAGTCAGTGTTCCATCATGGTGAATGAGTACTACTGCTAGTTGACCGTTAAGTGAATTTAAATTTATTCATAGTGGCACCTAATAGCTTACATAAATTAAGGGCCTTTGTCTGCTCGCTTTGAACTGCCTGTTCATTTAAGCCTAGTCGTAACATATCTTTAAATTTGGTGTAATTAAAATAATTTCGGACATATTTATTTGTCGAAGTAAGTGGGTATATTATTTCAAAGAATATGGGAAGGTGATCATTATTTGTGGCTGCTGTGATGGTGGACCAGGACAAAATGATACAGCCTGAGTTAGAAAAAGTCAGGTCTATTGCAGAACGTGATAGGCCAGATATATAAGGTGGGGATCTGGAATTCACACACTGAACGCCATTCAGACTGGCTCATTCTAATAACCATTTTCCACTGGCATCGGATCTATAACCCCATGTTGTGTGGTGTGAATTGAAATTTCCTGCGATGATTATATTCTTTTTACACGCGGCTACTGCAGAATCTAATAAACTAGTATTCACAACACCTGGGGGGAAATAAGAATTGATTATTGAAAGTGATGTACAACCAGAAATATATATATCTATTGCTAAAATTTCACACTCCGTCGATGTAAACTGATATGCTATCTTCGCTCTATCAGCAAATCTCGTAGAGACGGCAATGGCTAACCCCCCGCTACATGTACGGTGATCTAAGCGAAAGCAGTGATAGCATCTAAGATTAAAACTTTTTTCCGTAGATAACCATGTTTCTTGTAATATAACTATTTCAGGAGAAAATTCAGTACAATGATGTAAAAAATCAGTAGCTGCAGCGAGAATTAAGCGACAGTTCCACTGAAGCACTTTCAATGACTCTATACCAGCGGAACTGCCTTCTGAATGATGTTGTCCTTTAAGAAATCATCCTTTGTTGGCGGACTGTTGTCCTGGCACTTTTTTAACTTCAATTTATGGAGGGTGGTGGGTTTCGGTGAGTAAAGGGAAGCCCGGCGTTTTGTGGCTCTAGTGCCCAAATCCATATTTTCAACAGTTTGTGAAGTGGTCTCGGAACCACTCCCATCGTGCTGTTCGCAAGGAGATGAAAGAGTATCAGTGTACTCCAACGCAGTTTCTTCCCCAGTCGCAGTTTCTGGCGTGGTTTCATCTATGCCTTCGTGGGTAAGCGCAGTACCTGTATCGATAGTAGGGTTTACTGCACTATGTAAGATTTGACTCATCTGAGTTGTCAAAGCTTGCCCGATTGTTTCTGACAGGGTAGAAAACAGGGCGCTCAGTGCTCTCGACATGGCCTTTTCGACAGCATTTGCCACAACTTCTCCTATAGAGGTTTTCATAGCTTTAGAATGTCGAGCAGCAGCTTCAGCAAACCCGCACGATCTATCTAATACTGTGGCTCGAGCTTCACGGCGTGAGCATCGCTTCCTTTCTATTATCTCTAAAGTTTGGAGCTGTTGATCTCTAGCCGGGCAGTTTGAACAATTAGCAGGGTGAGCACCTCGGTAAAGACAGCATCGTTCATTTTGCCAGGAACACGTTTTCGGGTAATGCTCTTCTCCACATATGCGGCATCGAGGAGACGATCTGCACCCCTTAACGGTATGACCATATAGCCAGCACTGGATGCATTGAAGCGTGCGGGGAGCGAGAGCCCCAACTCTATAAATTAAAGGCCATGCCTTAATCTGTGTTGGTCTGTGTACGCCTGCAAATGTTACAATGACCGACTCTGTGGGGACTCTCTGTTTTTCGACCACTCGTGAGCATCGGTACACTGATGTGGCGCCTGCAACTGAAAACATTTCTAGGACCTCTGAGGCGCACAGGCTCGAATCTACACCACGAACTCGGCCTTTCACGCAAGTTAGACGAGCAGAAATAAATGGGCTCACCGGTTCAGATGCAAACGCGGTGCATATCAAAAGGTCAGAAATGCAGGCCTGGTCCGGAGAGCAGCACAAAATGCCACGACTGCCAAATTGTCGGACATCGGTGATATTATGGTAGAGTGGAGTCGCTTTCCTCAGCTCTTCCTGAATAACCTTCGGATTCTTGACACGGATAAGTCTCCCATTGGTCCATTGGTCGGTACTAGAGCAACAGGAACGCTATGGATACCACTGCGCAAAAAGGCCTCAATGGGCTTGTCATTAGTGGGAAGAGAAGCCGTCCAGAGGAAAGACCTCTGGCCACGGGAGGAAAGAGACATTAGGTACTCACAGTACAATCAGGTGAGAGAGTAGAGCAAAAGAATGGAAATCGAACAACTACAAAACACAGCCACACGACACACAAGCGACACCCCGCGGACAGGTCGTACCAAACCACCGGGTACTAGAAGGCAGACTCGGCAGACTCGGGTACAAGAAGGTAGACAACGTTCTCGCCTCCCATGGGCGTTCTTCTTCCCCGACTCTGGGCCTCAAGAAAGCGATGTGGCCAGAGGAGCGTCACCTTCTTCTCTGCCGGTTGAAAAAAAATGCACAAACTCTCTTGATATGCAAGGCAATGACGTGCTCGGTCACGCCAACTTCTTCCTCTTTCAGGAGATCGGGACATGAAGTATATATACTACACAGTGAGCTAAATTCTATTTGGCAACATTCAGTTACATGCACTGTGGCATGACAAGTGAGTTGTTCTTGGCCGCCATTTTTAAAATTCCCCGACAAGTGCTCCCACTGGTTCTCGGCGAGCTGATCCGGTGGCAGACGCCGCCAAAAACGGTCCGAGAGCGATCGGCAGGGAGCGGGCCCTTTCGGCGGATCTCGCCGCCGCCGCCGAACCGCATTCAGCGGCCTTATGGCGGCCGGAATGCTCAGTGTGAACGAGCCATTAGGCAGGCGCATCACCTTACTTTGTGCGTAATGCGTCGTGCTTGCCTGCTGCTGTAGAACGGTGCACACGAAACTCGGAATAGCAACTTTCGCGTTGTCTGGGAAGCACAAAACTCTGGGCCGACGCATATATGCGGCAGTTTTTATTGCAAAATTATTTTTCGTGTCTCTTTATAGTTTATCAAAGAAAGAGATATGCACAACCATTAGTACACAAACACTAAGCTGTCTGCTAACATTTTACGGAATGCTTGCCGTTTTTTTAGCAGATCTTGCTTTGGGGTCACTTCATTCAAATTTCGTCACTCCAAGTTCACGTGCCATGCCTGTGTTCCGCCGCAGTTTGGGCACGCTGGGGGCGATGATAAATATCTCGAACTATATTTTGAGCTAACTTTTGTATTGCTAAAAATTGGCATGCCATAAATTTGCACAAATTACACATTTTTATTAAACACCTGCTCTCAATTTCGTGAGTACAAGGCAATGAATGAATTCTAGCTAATTAGTCATAAACGTGTTATATCAATTGTGACGAAGTATTTGCACCTCAACATAGAGTTCGTGCGCAGAGGTGACCGGAGTCTTACCGTCATAAAATTTCTATGAACAAATTATATAGCTTAAAAACACCCTGTGTAATGAAATGCTTCAGCTAATGACCAGTTTTGGTTCATTTACTCAAATACATATCAAGCCTAGGTAGGAATATATCAGACCCTTGACATATTGCTTTAAATTATCTATGTGACTTTGTTATGTTAATTTTGTGGAACATTCTGAAAAAAATATTGATGTTAGAATCATGTGCTGTCGAGTTTGCTTAACGTTGTAAGCTTCAAGTTAAGTGGGACGACCCAGCTAAAGGTTTGTATTGATAGAAGTTTGAATTATTCATTCACGTCAACGCATCTGACGTTGAAATTCCTAGCTTTGTTTAGGTGAGTCTGTACAAATTTTTATTTTGTTTTGTTAGAAATGGAGACAAAAGAACGAATAACAATTTTGTGCAGTGACATTCACTGCACTGTTATTTTTTTCACAGACACGAGTCCTGGCGACGAATAACTCAAGAATGCATTTGTCTCCAAATCAATGGGTGTTGATGCACGGAAAGAGAGGATTCACGTTTCGTGATTTGAAAGACCTTAAAAACCACCCTGATGCGCCAGTGGAATTGTTTGAAAAACCGACGTCGAAGCGCCTGCCGGAAAGTGCAAGCAGCATGAAGTAAGTTCGCAGCAGATGGAGCAATTAGGCACTGGTTCTTTTTATTGCCTTACGGTAAACACCGTACGCATTATGACGAGTCAAAAACTTGTCAACACAACCTCCTGTATTTCGCTCATCTTTCTGTGCTGCATACGCAATAATTTCTTTGGCTTTACAAGCTCAAATCACAAATGAATATGAAGGATTCCGTTGGGGAAAATCCGGATATATTTTGACTACCCCGGTTTCCTTAAAATGGCCTTATCATGCTTCTTTCGGCGCGGTCAAAAATTGAGGCCGGTTGGTATTGGGGGCTCCTGAAAACACGCGAGCCAAAGATGTAAGCGCGGTACATGGGCCTGCAAAATTATTTTTTTACAGCGAAAGCTGTTATAAGATCCCAAGGCGATAAGAGCTTCCGCCTTGGGATCTCAAAGGAACTCAGTAAATAATAAAGAACATTAAAGACACAATAAGATTCGAATATACGTCCCCTGCGTGCCAGCCCAATATTATATCACTGAGCCACGCCGGTACTTGCAACTCGTTTGCAAACTGGCCATATGGAGGCTTGATGTCGATAAAAGATCGCGTTATTACAAGTACTAAAGCGTTTTAGAACAGCAAAGGAAAAATAGGGCGTCATACAATTTGAATCGCGCAACGATTGGGTCTTCCAATGCTCAAAGGCATTACAAAAGCTTGTTTTTGATGACCTATTAACTGTGGCGCATACGCACTTCATGCATAATTCCGTATCATCGTCAGCCACTACGTAAAAAGTTCCACGAAATTCCTTCGAAGTGTGAGGCGAATATCATGCTTCACTGAAGAATGTTGAAGAATAGCATATATAATGTATGCTGACATAGTACACAAAATTACTATTATTCATGGCGTAGTGACCCGCCGCAGTGGTCTAGTGGCTTAAGTACTCGGCTGCTGACCCGCTAGTAGCGGGATCAAATCCTGGCTGCATCGGCTGCATTTTCTATGGAAGCGAAAAAGTTGTAGGCCCATGTGCTCAAATATGGGTGCACGTTAAAAAACCCCAGGGGATCGAAATTTCCGGAGCCCTCCACTATGGCGTTCCTCATAATCCTATGGTGGTTTTGGGACGTTAAACTCCATATATCAATCAACTATTTACGGCGTAGTGGGTACCCAGCAAATGTGCTTGCGGAAGTTACCCAAATATTTCTGAAAAAAAAAAGCCTCTGAAAGGTAGTTATTGCAGCTTTCGCTGTGACTATGCTGCGCGTTGCGCGCAAGTCTGGCGGTTTTTTCTTTCAATGTCAGCTATAGATCATACCTTCGTATTTCTACGCATATAGAAATTTAACAAGTTATGAAAATACGGTACGTAAAGAGTGTAGGACACTACGGTAGCGCTCCTGCTTTGCAGTGACAGTGCATCGCCCGGACAACAGGTGTCTCCTGTTATGACCGTCACCAGCATAGGGGTTCTCCCGGTGACTGCGAACCCAAAAACTGGTTCGTTGACGCATTTTCAGGAAGGGCATGCACCTGCAACAGACTGAACACCTCGCAGCCAAGGAAGAACAAATGTGAAGAAATATTGAGGACGCAACCCACATAGATGAAAATAAAAGGGGACAGGATGGGGATTATTTCCGTTTATGTCGGCTGCATCCCTAACATTTCTTCCGTATGAAACAACTAATTTAGCAACACGTCTTAGTGGAAAAGAAATGTGTCGATGGACCGGCTTTGCGTAAAAAAAAAAACAACGAGACAGCAAATGTTATTGAGACCCGGCCCCGAACGAGGGACGAGGCATTCGTCAAAGCCCACCGTGGTACTGCTGCCTGTGGTGGCAGCTCAGGGGACTCCGATTGCCACTGCACTTTTTCACAAGAGCGCAGCCACGGGAAATTCACAGTTGTGCCCAGCGTTTATCACTCCAATTTTTACGACCTCTCCCACCTCCCATTTCGGACTCTCACCTCCCAGATCCTTGCCAGAAGACTTCTACGACCATGCCGCGCCAAGTTTCTGGACCATTTGCAAAATTTCGGTGCCGTGTGTAATATGTTGATGCCGTGCGTTCGTGAACCTATTTTGACACTGTCTTCCAGTGAGCCCTCTTCATGTGTTTTGTGTTATGTTTTTTGTGCTTGGCGTGAGTTACCCGGGCCACCGCAAGAAGCAGCCAAGTTCCCGTCCACGCGCTCACGATTACACTGAAAGTAAGGAACGTGGTAAGAGAGAGGGAAACGACGTTATTAAGGGCATAGAAAGGTCGTTGAATTGATCTTAGCAGTGGTTTGAAGGGTGGTGGCCAAAAGCTTTCCACGACCGCTTTGGTCCAAGGCATATGTGTTAAAAATAATTAGCTGCGCATCTGCAAACCTCGCTGCAAAAGTCGAAAGACGATAGTCTTCTGCCGGCTGTACTACGCAAGTCCCGGGGCATGTCTTATAGAGTGGGTGGAAATTCGTCAAGCAACCACTTATGTTTTGTCTTGCCTCAGGCGCCTTCTCTATGTCGATTCGGCCGCATCTGGCTGGCAATGATAAAGTGAGAGGGCAATGCGTGAGATATGGACGCAATCTGGCAGTGCCATTGGGAAATATTAGCTTGTGAATAACCCAGGACCACTGCCAGGTGGCAGCACCATATCGCTGGGAGAGGGCTTTTTTGTGCATGAAATTGCATTTTCAGGGCAGCCTAAGGAACACTAAGGTCCTTAGAATTACGTACTTATATATTATCTATAGTAAAGAAACACGCCATCGAATACCTTCGTATTGATGTTGCACCTCAGATATGAGTATTGACAGCTTTTTGGTGGACAATGTTCACAAGTATGAAAACGGCCGCCAGTTCAATGGCTGGGTGTCCAGCAAATGCTTAGACTTTGGCCGGGTGGCTGAATTGTGTGACGTACTGAAATACAGGTGAAAATTTCTGCGTTCAGGTATCCCAGGAAATACTAATATGCTCAAGGTCACGACGTGCACGTGACGCAACTCCTTTCCCCTTGCCCCTCTTTCCTGCTTAGCTTCCAGTGTGCTCAGAGAGGCGAGAAAAAAAGTAATTACAACGTGCTACAGATCGTTGGAACTGTGCTATACTGGGCGCATACTAAAAATTGTTGTGTGGCAGTCTGTTCATCAACCATTAAACTCTATTGATGAAACGATTCGATTGTTACTTTAAATAAGTTTTGCAGATACCCTATAATGTCTACCTAAATCAAAGCACTCCGGTGTTCTCCCATCTAGCCCTCATTGTAGTGAGCCCGTCGCGACTGGGAGCCGAATCCGCGTCACTGAACACAGCAGCGTGAGAAGTCAAGTGCTAAACAATTTCGGTGGTATCTCGTAAAAGCCACAAATGAAGAAAGTCTACTGTACTCCACAGGTGGACAATAAGTTGACTGGGTTATCAAGTTGCCAAACCTCGACCCCGAGTATGGCACCTGGATAATATTTGGTGTTACTAACAAAAATGCTTTCTTAACGACACCGCTGTTTGTCAGTCTTTCAACCTGAAGCACAGTTATTCGTATCATTTAATCCTTTTTGTATAGAATGTAGATGCGTTGTGACAGATTTCTGCTTCAATACATGTGTAATGTATTGTGGTGTATTTCTCGGTTACTTATGATCTCGCTTGAGTGATAACTATTGAGTGAGTGGTCAAGACAATCACTTCTACTGGCGATATTTTTCTTATCCACACTGTTTCCTCATGGTTATAGCCACATCATTGCCTTGAGCACAGGGGGCGTAGGGGGGAGGGGCAGCCAGCTGAGAGGTGAGGGTGGGGGGTAGGCACGCAAAATGTCAAAGTGCCAATGATGAATTCTTTTCTTTTGCAGTGGACCACAGTCAGAAAAAGACGAGCAAGCAATGAGGGTCATAAAAGAAGAAGAAATGTCTAAAATGGTGACTGAGTTTTCCCTTTGTTTTCTGCAAACATCCTTAAGAAGGGGTCCTTGCAAGCTACAGATGACGGTCACCATAGTTGCATTTTGTGAGCTCTGTGACGCTTGTATATTATCCACCCCGAACACAGGTCCTATATCTACTCTACAGTTCTTGATTGCTGTAATGCCTCTAAATTAGTGAAGTCACACCAAATACAAAACAATGGGAGGCCTGAACTATGAAGAAATGAATATATGCGAAAATATTCAAGCACCTATATACCTGTATAACGAATGTTTAGTATCTATTGAATCTATTTTTGAATGCTGTCCATAGAGGACATCACAGCTGAAAGCAACCAAGGAACACCTAAAGTTTCTATAAAAACATGGCAGATCCCACGTATACGTGAGAATCGATGATATGCGAAGCACGAATAAGCAAGGTTGACATGGCACTTTAAAATCAGCACAAAGTTATCAAGCGGGCGTAAATGATGCCACGCATGACTTCCATGTCATGATTATCATGCTTGCGCCTAGCATTGGTGTTAGTCGTCTATTCACGTCACATAATACCAAAGTTGGTATAGGTGAAGCTAACAAAACAGTCGTGAGCATGCTATGAGTGTAACGTGTTGTCATGTTTTACATGACACGAGTGTCATGATTATCATGTTTAGACGCGTCATTAGCTTCGCCACATATTCAATACCAAATTTGGTATACTTGAAGGTAGCGAAAAGAGTGCGTGCGAGTGCACTATGAGCGTGGCCTGTAGTGATTACTTACATGACATGCACGTCATGATTCCCACATTATGGTTTGTCCCTTATGTCCGCCATGCAGTCATGTCATACCATATTAGTTTTTCAATACGTCATGTTAACGAAGCCACTGCAAGAACAGCAAGACCATGAGTGGTAAACATGGCATTCGTGACATACACGTGGTGATTTTCATGTTATGACTAGTCGCTTAGGCTCGTCATAGGCTCATGTTATGCCATACCAATTTTGGTATATATCCCATTATCGGAACGGTCAGGAGAGCTAAAAGCCGTAGGTGGCTAGATAGATGGATAGACATATACGGTGGAAGTCACCGAAGTTCGCGAAGAAAGCGAAGCATTTTTTTGCGGACTTGTACAAGCGGCTTTGACAGCCTTGTCTCGTACCACGCGAGCGCGTCGAACATACAACTCACTGTATGTTTGTGTGTGTTTTGTTATGTGCTACCTTTCTCTTTCTTCCCTCTCTTTCCGCTTCCTCTTTCCATCTCCTCATTCCCGTTTTCCCGTGTAGGGTATCGAACCGGCTTTCCTAGACTGGTTATCCTCCCTACCCTTCCTTATCTGTCACTTATTCAACTGCTTGGGCTGTGACGTTCGAAGTGCTGGTAATCGTCGCTTTGTCCTTATGGAGCATGAAATTTTGATGGCAAAGAAAAACTAGGGCATTTGTTTCGTTTTTGGCTGATCATCCACTGTTCAAATTGACTGTGGTAGCTTCGTTTACGCAATTATAGCCACGTAGAACTAAAAAAGTTTTAAAAATAAACTGAAATTGCTTTGATTGCAAAGGTGTACATATAGCGTCCTAACTCAATTAGCGTAGTCTGAGTGACAGCCTTTACCCAGATTTGTAGCTTATTGTGAATGGTTTTTCTCTCAGGGATACTTCGAAATTGTTCGAGCATACTTCAAGTACTCTGGCGCATGCGCACCGATTGCACTGTCATGCTTTGTAGCGAGTGCTGCATTTGTGGCCTGTCAAATGCTTTGCATTAAATCGTGGACGACAATGATGATGGGCATTACCGTAAATACGACACGCTCTGACGGGAACATTCTACGATGGCTCGCCGTGTTTTGCATAGGAGACGGTAAGTCAATTTATTACTATGAACAAATGAGCTTCAGAAACACCAGCCAAAAGGATCACAAAGTTCGTAAGTTCACGCTCGTAGCAATATGAAAGATGCGTATTCAAAACAAACATATAGGAAGGGGGCCCTTATAGTTGGAAAATTTCCTTGTTTATCCAATGATAGGTGCCCCCCCCCCCCCGCTCCTTGATCATGCAAAATTCAAATCGCTAGGAGACTCACAGAAACCAAGTTGTAATTGTTATATACTAGAAAAGTATTTTCTGATTCTCTTACTCGTGAATTTTATTATAATGCATTTTGATGAGCCTGCGTATTGTTAAAGGCGTTGTTTTGTTCTAGTGAGGGAGTGCTGTGGTCAGCGCAGGTTTAAATTCAGCGAAAAATACACAATGTTAAAGCAACAGCGTTATAAGGCTTGTGCCACAGAGATCCAGTGTTGCTGTTGCTGTCGTTGGGGCTGCCTGAAAGGGAAAAAAATGCCGCCTGGTGCAAAGATAGTGTTTCATACAATAAAACTTAGAGAATAAATCGCGCCTTAGCGTGCGTCAGGGTCTCCTTCAACCACGATGAAGATGATGGCAAATTCAGACTTCGTATTTGCTTCAGATGAATTACGTTCTTGATATTTGTTGCACTTGTTCACCGAGCCTAAAACATAGAGATCTGCACTTATTTCGAATTTTCAATTAAAACTTGTTTCATTATTATGTATGTAAAACTTATTGTAGAAAGTTAGCGTGACCGCGAAATTAAATTGAAGCCGTTACAAATTTAACTCACAAACTATCATGCATTGCTCTGCAATAAGATTGTGGACTTGAATTATTTGTTGCATGTGTTCAGCGGGGAAAAGAAACATGCGTGATTTTCTCTCGACACTGTGTGAAAGTATATATGTGCGTGGAAATAAAATTTTCCATCGTGCAAGAAACACTAATAAACACTACACGTATTTGCTGCTGGTACATCAGTCGTTGCACCAAACGTTCGTAAAAAGGGCATACTGGCGGCAAGAAAAAAAAAACTGTATGTGATACATACAGTCGTAACGGTTAAGGTGAATGCCTTTGATGTCTCAGACTAGCGGCGTCTGGTGACCTGACACCTGTCGTGGTGCCAGCTGCGGCGTCTCCCACTGACGCGGGAAGATAAATAAGCGTTCCGGTGAAATCCGCTTGTCGAGCGGGAGCAAGTCTTCTTGCTTGGCGACGGAGAATACGCATTCCGCTGGTAGATCTTGAGCAAGTTCAAGTTTTTCTGTGTCATATTCGGAGCAACACCTTCCGCGAGGGAGCGTTCTGCGTGCTCAGTCTTGCAGAGACGAATTTTGCCAGAACTCCGAGAATGCATTGTTGTCATTTCCGGTATCGTCAGGCAGCTCAACGGCAGCTAGGTTGTCTTCAGCGTTTTCTGAGGTGGTGTATAGTCTTCCTGTGCACTTGTTTACATGCCTAAAATGGTGTTGTTTGACTCTGCTTGAACATGCTGCATCTGCTTTGCTTCTCAGTTTGAGCGACAGAGAGATCACTCGTACTTCAGCAGCAACGACGACGAGCGATACGTGCTATACGAAATGATGTGTGGAAAATGTTTCCTGGACCGCCGTGTGCACTGTCAAATATAATTGGTTACGTCGAGGAAATTTCCGGTACTGGTTTAGTGATGTATGCGTGAATAAGTTCCGAAGCGACCTCACGCGCGGTATTCATGTCTTCCACTCTTAGCTCTACCTGGTTTAGAGCAATCCGAGTGGTCGTTCCAGAATTTCGGCAGCCAGCGGCTAGTCAGTCGAATGGCCCCCGGCTTTCACCGAACACACTTTGTAAATTACAGTGTGTCATTTCTGTATTTTATTTTTTGCATCGCCATCATAATCGACGGAGTGTGGCAAGGGACATAGGTTAATCCTCTCTTCCCCCCTCTCGCCCGATGAAAACTGCCGGACTTTAAATAAAGTTTATTCGTTCATTCATTTACAAGTGACTGGCGGTTGAAACAGCAAGACTGACACGTGGTACTGTTCTTCATAAGCATGAAGATATACTGTTCTTCATAAGCATGAAGATATCGAGAGGGCCAAGCACATTTCATTTTTCAAACCAGAGGTGGAGGGCGGAAAGCATTCCAACAAGCAGCTTTTTCGGGCAACTCGATAATCTACAATGGGAGGCTACGTGTTCTCATTAAAGAAAGTAATATAAATGGTAACTTAGCTTTCTCCCGCTCTCTCTCTCTCTCTTACACACGCAAAAGAAAGAGCCAACTGAGTAACTTTTGAATGTGCCCCTCAGAACCACGCATATGCTTGACAAGTATGCAAAAAAAAAAGAGACACACTATCCAGGTGTCACTTAAAGGTGATAATGATTGATATGATAGATATGTTGGGTTTAACGTCCCAAAACCAATATATGATTATGAGAGACGCCGTAGTGGAGGGCTACAAAAATTTCGACCACCTGGGTTCTTTAACGTGCACCTAAATTTGAGCACACGGGCCTACAACATTTCCGCCTCCATCGGAAATACAGCCGCCGCAGCCGGGATTCGATCCCGCGACCTGCGGGTCAGCGGCCGAGTACCTCAGCCACTAGACCACCACGGTGGGGCCACCTAAAGGTGATGCTCTTCTCAACAGATGTAATATTGCGTGGCAGAAGCTTAGAATCGCACCCGGCTTGAAAAAATTTCCATTACCAAACGAGTGGGTAGTTGAAAGGCCCACCCTACAGAAAGGGCTCATTCATAATTAATTCCCATGATCAACCACAGCATCGACAAAATGTGCGGCTGCGCTGGCGCGATTGTTTCCGGACGAAAGTGTAGTGGATACTTCATCAATTCGCAAAAAAAAATATTTGCATAGCGGGCACCTAGCAACTGTACTTGCGGTAGGCTTTCTTAGGATAGTTCGAAAGCGCCAATTTTGAGCGCACACGCGCTCTCTCTTAGCAGCATGCATGGTTGAAGAATCCATCGAGAACTGTAGCTAGGCTAACGACTGAGAAGACGGTGTGAACGGGTTCCAATTATTGGATCGCGTACCACTATCAATTGCGAAGGTTAGGAGTCCTCGAAGTACATCCAGAGTCCTTGTAAAGAGACCCGCTCAGCCCACGTGTGGTGAGAGAAAGGGGAGTCTTGCGGAGACTGCGTCCTAATATCATCCAGTATTCAAGCTGTCATCATTCCGGCATACCTATAAGGAAAGGGAAATAACTTTTTCCCAAAATAATATTCTTTGGACTTTTCGTACATTCTTCTTTATTATTATTATTATTATTATTATTATTATTATTATTATTATTATTATTATTATTATTATTATTATTATTATTATTATTATTATTATTATTATTATTATTATTATTATCCAGTCATCCTAAGGCTTGCTGGAGGCGTGCTGCTGGCCCACGCCAACCGCCACCGTTGCATGGAGCTGCACGCCGACATGCTGGAGCGCGTCGCCGGCAGTGCGCTCTCTTTCTTCAACGCTACTCCGAGGGGCCGCATCTTCAATCGCTTTTCCGTGGACCTGGAAATGAACGACACTCGCGTATTTGTATTCTCCAAGCAGCTTGTGCAGAACATCCTTTATGTTTTCGCACGCCTAGCTGTGATTGGGACTCAGGCGCCCTTCGTGTTTGCCCTCACCCTTTGTGCTGAAATCATGTTGCTACTTTGCTTGGTGAGTTCCAGCGTTTCTATACCGCCATCATGGTAGTGGTTTTTTTTTAATGCGAATAGCTTTTTCGGAAATTTCTCGCGCAGCGTTTGAGTGGTCACTTGTGATTGTATCGTAAACAAGTTCAATGTGTGGAATATATAACGCAATGGAGCAGCCCCAATGCTGAACTAGTATGGGCCTGTCGAGTTATCAATATTCCTACATTCGGTTGCCGTACGAACACGCTCTGGAATTCGGATGTACACGACGATTGAATGTCTCTAAAAAGTATGTATTTATTCCTACCAGAGGCATACGTGTGAAGAAATCGGCAATTAAAGGTAGAACTCACCCAGACTCATTATTTTCTTTAACCAGACTCAAATAAACTCAGACTTACTGAAATATTTCTCGCTTGGATTCAAGCTCACCCTAATATTACTTACCGGAATCACTCAGGCTCAAGATCACGGCCCAATCCAAGTATGGCTGTGTCCGAGTGATTTCAATCATGAGTGTGTTTGCCGACCTATGCTCACGTGCAAGGAATGTTCTGGTGCATAAGCAAAGGTTGTCACCGTCCTCATAAATTTTCCTAGCTAATTGTTTTTTCGATGTCCACTTTTTTTCTTATTCAGCGTTACCTGATACGTGGCACGATGTTAGGACGTCTATACGAAAGCACCCGGCTGTCTCGACTGCTCCAGCACCTGACTGAGACACTCGACTGCATAGGCCTGATACGTTGCTACGGGGTCATGGAACGGTTCTGCAGTCGGTTCCGACGCATGTTGATGGTGTACTTGGAGTCTTTCAACATGTTCGTGTACTGCTTCGCCGTAGGACGCCTCATAAGCACCATATGCGCCCTGCTGATAATAGTGCTCACCGTAGCCATCATTGTGGCACCGGCCCATGACGACCCTGGCTCCGCTGCAATGGCTGGCCTGTCTCTTCTTTCAGCATTTACGGTAAGCCGCTACCCCGTGACGCAAAGGCTTGTGAATTGCGTTAGTAATCTCTATATATTTCACTACTGCTTCGGATCTGTGTGTCACAATGATTGGCATAAAGAAGTGAAACAACTAAGAGAAAATGTTTTCTACTCATCAGAGACGCCACTTCAGCATAGCGATCTAGTCAATACATGTAAGTGCAGACTTCAAGAATACACAACACAGTTAAAGGGCCAGTCAACAGGCTCCGACACGTGCAGGAAAAGCCCGTGCATTTTACGGCGCGTGACCAACCTATTTATGCGCGCAGTGACATCAACTCGGCGATCAGTGACGTGACGCAGCACGCAGCTCGTTGACTGGTTTAAAACAGGTCTAAACAAAGAGTAATGAGCTTAACGTCACCGATCGCCGAGTTGACGTCACTGCGCATATAAAGTGGTTGATAACGCGCCGTAAAATTGCGCGTGCTTTTCCTGTACGTTTCGGAGCCTGTTGACTGGTCTTTAAAGATGCACAGGTGTGGTTATGAGCGCTATCTAACAAGAACTTATACTTAGTGCCCGATGTTTAATGCAAAAGACGTGGAATGACAAGAAAATAAGCCTAATTCAAATATTTATAGACCTCTCGGCTCACTTGCTACTCAGTACAATGGGAGATAGAAAGGGGAGACAAAAATTTTATGTTGGCCGATGAGAATAAAAAGTCTGCAGGTATGACATGGCAGAAAAAAGCGCAAGACCGGGTTGAGTGGTGAATCATGGGAGAGGTGTTTGCTCTTAAGTGGGCGCGCAGTCAGTTTGATGATGATGATGATGACAATTAAAGATTCTTTGAAGGAGACGTTATCTTCAAAAAATTTACTCTATGAGCCACCTATTCCATGGAAGTTGTGGATCAGACAGCAGCTGATGAAGAAAGGGACGTACTTTCTTATTAGAGTATTGCGAAAGATTGAAGTCTAGAATGGTGCTTCTAAAAAGTTGTTTTGATTGGGTAGAACTATGTTAGAGCGACGCTGCTGTCTTCTACGCACACAAGAAGTGCGCTTATAAGGTCCCATGAAACCAGTTAAAAAAGGTAAACAATGACGCCTTGCCGAAGGCGTTACTGTAAGACGCTGCCCCATGCATACGTAGGGACTACTTAAAGGGACACTAAAGGCAACTACTTAGTCGACGTCGATTGTTCAAATAGTGGTTCAGAAACCTCTTAGTGTCACTTTTGTGCCAAGGAAAGGCCTATTTTGAAATAAAGTCACGTTCGAGTAGTCCACATCGGGTTTGCGCACTTCAAATTACCCGTCTGAAGAAGCGGACCAACCGGATCAACTCACGTCAATGTGGCAGTGCAAAGCGTTGCCCGACTTCACTGCACTAGTAGCAGCAGACCGAAAGCAGCGGGAGCCACAGCAGCAACAATGATCAATTTCCCGCCATTGGCTTCGAGATTGCAGGCGTTTCTTGTTTCAACTGCGCCCCGCTGAATGGCACCACCTGTCCCGTGTAATGACGCGAAAATTGAATTTTCAACCACTCGCGCCATTCCATATAGTATTGTCCAGTGGTTCTTTTTTCCATGAATGAAACAGAAACGAACAAGCAGCATTTTATTGTGTCTCTAGATGCACGGAAGGTTCTTTATTTAACGCAGTTAGATCGATTACTACTGATTCATTGGAGGCGGTCCGTCTGATGTCGTCGGGATCATTTTGAAAATGTCCTACAGCGGCGCTTGTGTTCTTGTGCATTTACCTTAATTTCTCGGTAAGTATGGGGCACTGTTGTAGATAATATAGTCATTTCAGATGTCATACATTGAGGTTTCACGATGACGTAAATTGTTATTTGACTTTAGTGTCCCTTTAAGCATGTGACGCATAAGAAGACGTGCCATTGTATAGTGTTATTTGTAATGCGTTTTTGTTATATAAAACACGTCACCGCAATGAAATCATTCTAATCCCGTATTTACACTTTGTACCATAGTAATACACGTTGTATCGCGTCCATGAGTATTGTTCATGAAGCAGGTACAGTTATTTTGTTTGCTATACGTCTCTTTGTTCTACTGCTCTATTTGTATGATGTTCTTCTAACTGCTTGTTCATTTATTCTGCTCTAAATGCACTACATTTGCTAAAAGCTTCCATTCCCTAACTGCTTCCAGGTACGTGGGCCCTCAGACTTTCTCAAGTGGTTTTTAGCCGCTTTTTTCCTGAAGGACCCGCAACTTGTTGAAAGAAAAATTTCCAACTAAAGATTGACTGATTGAAGGATTCAAAAACAGGCTACATACGACATATTACGATGAACAGACATATGGTTATACTAGCCATGACACGCTAATGCATAGGATAAGTTTCAGACGTGGCCACCAAGGCTGGCATCACCTTGATCCGGCAGTATGAAGGGTGCTTTGCGTCTAGAATTGCAAAAGAACAGGTCCAGATTGTAGCTACGAAATGCACTAGGTAACAATTGGTTAGGTCGTATAGTAAAGGAAGCTGAATAGATTTGTGTAGCCGGGCTTGATCGACGTGCATTATACTTAAGTGCGTGTGTGTTGCTGCTATTCGCCTGCGTCTAAATGGAGCCGGCGTGGCTATAGACTAAAACAACTTTGCAACGCAACACCTTAGCCACGAAGCTACCATAGACGGTGTGTGAAACATAACCGCCTATAATTTGCGGTTGGTTCAATGCGCTGATATTGAGATGAAGAAATCCGCTAAAATATGGATAACAGTGCCCGTAGATAGTATAATGGCGGCAGACGTCATAAAATACTTTGTTTACCATTCTGCAGGTTCCATTTGCCTTAGTGGTGGTTTTCGTCAGCGGATTTTGGAACGCCTTGGGTGAAGCCGCTTTTCAAAGGGCACTAGAATATACTAAGCTGCCTTTGGAGAAGGTGCGTACTTTCTTAGTATACCTGTCACGACGAACAAAAATGACCAAGTTGATTGAAAAATTAATTGGTCATTGCTTTGCTACTTGACCTCAACATCGCATGTTGTAGGCAGTATAATTTTGAAACAACGATGTGGAATTGTGCAGTTAGTGACATAGGTCATTATCAAGAAAATGATCTGACATTCAACGCTGATTCGACCAATGGGAATCGGACGCTGTTGTGGCGCATTGTAGAAACAGGCAACAGTACGCCCATGTTAACACTTAAAATATATTTCGTTCAAAATTTGATCCCTTTGACACAAATAAAGCCCGTAGAGCATCTATAGCTTTAATTCATTCATGTCTTTGAGAACGGGCACATATTTACGTTGGAAACATTTGATGCGCCAGCTGGCTCACATTGGCAGTTGTCGGTGGCATGTCCTTTCTATTCTGCTGATTAATATTTGTACGTGATTTCAGTGTCGGCTTCGTTGACTCTGAGCGTAAAAGCAGCGTGGTCTGTGATCACGAAACTGATAAAGGTGCAAATAAAATAAGTAATGAAAAATATGTCTGAGTGAGGATAAAACCCAGGCCTTCGGCGCGACAGAACGGTGCTCAATCACAGAGCGAGGTCATTGCTTGTAACTGCAAGTTAAAAAACAGTAAATCAATGTCATGAGGTGAAACGAGTCTCCTACGCGTATAATATTGCGTGACAGAATCGTAGGGTCACGTGAGGTGTCAAAACATGTGTACGTACAATAAGTGGAGGTTCTGAAGGTCTATCCATAACCAAACCCGCAAGCATTGGAGCGATAAGCTGAGGTTGGACCTGAGCGAAGGCCAGAGTTCCGCGACAAATGGTGCCGAAATCACATGGGGCAACCAGTGACTCCCAACGACGTGGACAGTGAGTGACGGTGACTAGGAGTTTCCACTAAAAACCGAAGCCACAGTAACCTAATCCTCATTGCAACCACACCCAGGAAGGCAGCGAGCTTAACCGGCTACATTAAAATCAAGCAAGGCGTGGTCCCAACGAGACATGAACCACTTTAAAGCTAAACGCGCTGCGGGACGAACGCGAAAAGGAAAGTCATGGATGAGGCACCCTCATGAATGAAAGCGACTGCAACAGACGAATGATTTTCAGCAAGGTTATAGAAAAGCTCGGCAAAAGCCGTGACGAGGTTCGGAAGATCAGTGCCGAAATTGAGGACGTGATCTCGGTCGAGGAACTGCAGAAAAAGTATGATTTGTGAGCACAATATAACGGCCAGGCACTTGAGACCCTGACATACCAATGTTGCTGTCTTGAAGATCTCAGCCTCTGCAACTAGAGGCAGACCTCTGCTTCGACTACGATCAGGACGTCGCCTGCACTAACCACAGCTTTGTCTCAGAACTTTGGACCGCGTATCCTTACGCTGACAATCAAGCCTATTCATGGGGACATGTGTCGATGGATATCGTTTTGGCAGCGGTTCGACTAAGCTGTCCACACGAACCCATTCATGACCACGACAGATAAATATCATAAATAATAAATCGCAGGTACGATTGCCGGATTGTCAAAGACAATACCATGCTACGAGAGTGCCATCCAGCTGCTAAAGCAGGGGTTTGGGTACAAAAGCAGGATCGTACTGCAGCGCTTCAGAGCACTTCGTGAACTGCCGCGAGTTACACATTCATCGCATACGAGGGGGCTGCGCACGTTTTACGACGCAGTTCAGCTAAATGTTCACTGCCTCTACGTTCTGCACGTTTCAGAAGTTTTTCAGGGATGCTCATGACATCATGCTTCAATCCTTGCCACAAGCAATTGTCATTTCATTCCACCGCCATAGACGTTTCCAGGAAAAAATCAGAAAGATTGGAAACATCTGCTTCAGCGGAGGTACCAACAACGTATTTTGAGAAACTTGAGAAGCTCTACGATATACACAGATAGAGATAAAAACAAAAGAGCAGTGTACTTCATCAACGTCCTCTACCAAAGGCATCGAGAACCACGAAAAACATGTGACGTCGGCATCAGTCCTACATGCATCAGGATAATCGAAGCAAGCAGGCTACGAATGCTTCTTTTGCAAGTCGACAGAACATGAAACCGGGGGATGCAGCGTAAGCATGGCCATACCAGAAAAAAAAAAGAAACGTGTGTCTGTATGTGTTGCTATCAGTGTACAATGAAAGGCCACCGCGCGAACGAGGTCTGGCGGAGGTTGGTGTGCGCGACATGCAAAAGTAGGCATGCTGCTACGATGTGCGGTCCAGATTATTGCAGGAAAAGAGACGAGAAGCCTCTGCCTTCAGTGACTGACCAAGCCACTGAAAGCAGAGGGTTCGTGGTGGACTGTCATTAAAAGTTGCCTATTTGACAAAACCGTCATTTTAGAGAACTTTCGTTCTTGATTGTTGTTTTACCAAGACGTTATACACCAGAGACAACATCGACGGAAGCAGTGAACGCTTGTTTACTAAAGTTGGCCTGGTGGGGCGCTTGGGACTGAATATCATTAGGCATACTTGCCCATCGGTGAGCACGTTTGCGTCTGACTCCCCTTGCCGTGTGAAAACTTGGAATGTCGTGAAGGTTCGCCTGCGAAGCCAGTTTGACAACAACGAGCGCATTGAAGCCGAATCCAAGCCTGTAGTTTGCCACGACATCCCAATATCGGCTCTCAAATGCTCTTTCGCAGCCATACTACGTGGGCAAAATTACCGGCTCGCAGTCTAGCAAACTGCGCCTCGACAGCGCTGCGAGAAAGGCCTGCTCATAGGATATGACCAACTGCCGTAGGTTGTGAGCGGCAATAATACGCAGCAGGAAAGTGCAAGGATTGGTCGTGGTCAAGACCACTCTCGAATAGACATTGCAAGGTCCTGTCACAAAAGCGAGCTCCGTGAACAGAACGTCTGAAGTTAGGCTCTGCGTCCTTGGAGTGCAAGGGACCGAACTTAGAAGATGAGAGCAATACATATGAAAAATAGTTTTTAATCGCTGAATGCCGAGGACGTCGCACCAAATAAAAAGTATTCACAGACCGGGAAACACCTTGCCTCTTTTCCAGAGCAAGGTTAGAAAGATTGAAAAACGGTACCAAGTATCCGTTCCATGTGAAGACAAGGACACCGAGCTACTTCATGAAAATTGTACAGCCGGAGTTACTCACTCGCAAGAGCCGAAGCTCAACGTGAAATTTCGCCGACGAGAGGGGTTGGCTACTACAAAAACAAGAAGTTACAAGTCAGCGAGACCATAATTCTGGGCCTTCTGAACGCGACCAAGTTATTATGGCCCGTACTCCACGCTCAATAGCTACATAGGAAACGATGGAGTTCGTACCTGTTTAGTCTGATTAGAGGGTGGTAGTCTTCAACGTCACCACCACCGCCATCACCACCACCACCTCCACGACCACCAATCCACAGACATCTTTAACAATCATTAGCATCAAAAATATCAACAAAGGGAGCAGCAGTGCAGGTTCACGGTTGCCTTACAGACATATAGGGGCGCTTCGTTGATATTCAAAGGGAAAAGCTCGGCCGCAGTGTGCTCATGGCAACTGCGTTTACAGTAAGCATATTGGGATAGTTTAAAATGGCCAATTCAATGTACGGAGTCGTTTGTTCCATTGCGGCATAGTTCAGGCATGCGCCAAGATTCGAAGCTGGCTTAGCGATTGAGAAGGCGATGCGCATGGAATCCACTATCGTGTTCTGCTGTCGAAGGCAAAGCTCAAGCGCACTCAAAGCTCTTGAATGCAGCTTATATTCTTTCAATTTAAAAAGCTTTTTATTGGAGTGGCACGGTGCTTGCACCTTTGTGTAGCATTGTGTGTTTTGCAATTATATTGATTGGCAGTGAACCGCTTGAAAGATGAAATGTTGAAACGTAAGGAAGGAAAGAGGAAGCGACATGATGACAGAGCGACACACACCCACTCACCGACACCGCCGTTTTTATTCATGTCGAGTGAGTGAGTGAGAAAGGAAAGGCCGGGAGGTTAACCAGATATTGGCATCTGGTTTGCTACCCAGCGCTGGGGGTGGGGAAGTAGGGGCAAGAAAGAGGGGTTAGAGAGAGGGAAAAAAACGCACGCGCACTCATAAAAAAAAACGAAAACACACATTGGAAGGGCGTCCCAGCTACAACCGTTCAGCAAGGCCGGTCAATCGCAAAAAGTTCAGCAGCGCTTTCAGGGCCCTCTTCTGTGAAGTCGCATCCTGACGATACTGCAGAATTTCCTGCTCCGACAGAGGCTGATCATCTAATTTGTTGAGTTCCCTGCTAAGGCATAGTCGCCACCTACTATACGCTAGGCACTCACAAAGAACATGTTGAATGGTTTCCTCCTTGCCACAGTGGCCACAGGCTGCGGTGTCGGCCATCCCAATGCGGAAAGCGTAGGCGTTGGTAAATGCAACGCCCAACCACAGCCTACATAACAGGGTCTGGTCTGCTCGGCGAAGCCTCGACGGGACTTGAAGACTTAGCGTAGGGTCAAGCGAGTACAGTCGGGCATGCTTGAAGTGCGGCTGATTCCATTGCGATGTGGTTTGCCGGCGAGCAAGTCTGCGGAGCTCTCGTGCAGCATCCGTCCTAGAAAGTGGTAGCCGCAGTTTAAGATTTTCTGTGTGGGCTGAGCGGGCAGCTTGATCGGCCCGTTCATTGCCGATGATTCCGCAGTGACTGGGCAACCACTGAAATGTAATTTGGTGCCCTTTCTCAGTCAGGTGGTGTATAATCTCTGCTATCTCTAGTACCAGCTGCTCGTGTGGTCCACGGCGTAAGGCTGATAGTAGAGACTGCAGTGCCGTCTTCGAGTCGCAGAAAATAGTCCACTTGCGCGTAGGCTGATCAACTACAAATTGCAACGCGGCACGAAGTGCTGCCAATTCTGCTGCCGTTGATGTTGTTGCGTGAGATGTCTTGAATTTAATTGTCGTGGCCAACCTTGGTATCACTACTGCTCCTGTAGAGCTGTCCGGCTGAACTGATCCGTCAGTGTAGATATGTGTGGAGTCTTGATATTTCTCATACAAGAGAAGTAGTGTGAGCTGTTTAAGAGCCGGTGACGACAAATTGGCCTTTTTCTCGACGCCAGGTATGTTAATATTAATTATTGGTTGAGCGAGGCACCATGGCGGAGTCACAGGTCTAGCGGCAGGAGAGAACGAAGTTGGGATCGACTCACCATGTGCGGTCACTGTTTTGCAGTAAGATGTGCATGGTCGGACCACTGGTAGAGAGGCTAGGTGATGTCGAGGGGTTCGAGCAAGGTGTCGTATATGTGTCCTCAGCACTTCCACATTAATGTGGGTCTTGATGAGGTTGTCCCTTGTGATGGCGATAGTCGCCGCTGTTGATGCACTTTGGGGCAAGCCTAAACATATCCGGAGTGCTTGAGCCTGGACACTTTGAAACATTCGTATGCTTGTTTTACTTGTGTTGGTTAACACAGGTAGGCTGTACCGAAGGAATCCAAGGAAAAGAAACCTGTATAGTCGCAACATAGCAGTTGTGGACATTCCCCAGTTCTTTCCAGCGAAGAACTTGAACAAATGACAGATGCCTGTCAATCGCCTTTTCATGTATGATACATGTGAGCTCCATGAGAGGTCTCTGTCAATTATAACACCTAGGAACTTGTATGATCTGAGGTGACGTATTCTTTCGTTGTTTATCAGAACGCTGTAGTTATGCATTGGTTTGCGCGTAAATGCCACTAGTGCACATTTCTCAGAGGAAATTTCCAGACCTCGTTGACGGAGGTAAATAGCAACTTGAGTGGCAGCTCTCTGAATTCGCGCTCGCAGCTGTAGACGTGTTACTGCAGACGTCCAAACGCAGATGTCGTCCGCGTACATTGACAATCTGACAGTACTTGGCAGATGCTCATTTAGAGCTATTAGCGTCAGGTTGAATAGTACAGGGCTAAGTATGCCACCCTGGGGAACACCACGGTGGCTGTAGTGTAGCGAAGTGTCACCATCCTCGGTTCTCACGAAAAAGGATCGCTCAGAGAGATAGCTGCGTATCCACTGAAACATCCGACCACCCACTCCTACCTCCTTGAGAGCGGTGAGGACAGCTTCATGTGTGACGTTATCGTACGCCCCTTTAACATCAAGAAATAAAGAAGCGCAGAGACGCTTACGGCCTTTTTCGTGCTGCACGTAGGTGACCAGGTCTATGACGCTATCAATTGATGACCGGCCACGGCGAAATCCCGTCATAGCGTCCGGGTAGATGTTGTGATGCTCCAGGAATCATTCTAGCCGTCCAAGTACCATCCTCTCCATCACTTTGCCCAAGCAACTAGCCAGTGCAATCGGGCGGTATGATGTGAGCACCAATGGTGACTTGCCAGGCTTCAGTAATGGAACCAAACGGCTGGTCTTCCAGTTAACTGGGAGGGTGCCCTCTCGCCACGAGTCGTTGTATATCTCGAGGAGGGCACTCCTCGCACACTCACCAAGGTGACACAGTGCTCTGTATGATATTCCATCAGGCCCGGGTGCTGATGTCCGTCTACACAAAGCCAGTGCTGCTTGAAGCTCATGAATAGAAAAAAATTGGTCCATGGGGTGATCGTGTGATGTCGTGCCACCACGTGAGAGCGTGGAGATGTTGGGATCTGCGAGTTGACCAGATAAGTTGGCACAGAACTCTTCTGCCACGTCGACCTCCGATCTCTGTTGAGAGAGGGCTAGAGCCTTGAATGGAGACCGCTGAATGGGAGATGTCCGGAGCCCTCTTATTGTCCTCCACAAGTGTGATAAAGGCTTGCGAGGATCTAACGAAGCGCAGAAGGCTGCCCAACGTTGTGACTCTAGCTTGTCTATGCGGCGTTGTATCTTCTTCTGAAGACGTCTAGCGATTCGTAAATCGTCGACTGCTTTCGTGCGTCGGTACCTTCGTTCCGCACGCCGTCGGAGAGCCCGAAGTCGTTCTAATTCCACATCAAATTCGGTTACTCTCGAAGAGCATGTGAGGGTGCACACTGTGTCTTGCACCGTGGACTTGATCACCTCTTCTAAGTCAAATGAGGTGTTTTCTTGACAGCGTTCTTCCATGAGAGATTCAAACTTGGTCCAGTCTACTCTTTGGATAGTTTCGCGTACCTTGCAAGGTGATAATCCTCTGATCTTGACATATGTGGGAATGTGGTCGCTCCCATGTGTTTCTATGTCCGCAAACCATCCGGCACATCTGACAAGACCTCGAGAAACAAAAGTCAAGTCAAGGCAACTGCTGTATCCAGGGCCACGTAAAAATGTTGGGCTGCCATCATTTAACAAGCACAGCTCGTTGTCTGAAGCAAACGTTATCAGACTTCTACCCTTTGCGCTGATCTTCGGGCTCCCCCATAGCGTATGGTGGGCGTTGAAGTCTCCGATGATCACCCATGGGCCAGGAGTGCTAATAAAACCGGCAAACGAAGATAACGTCATTGGGAATGTCAGTCGCCTTGGTAACTCACATTGTGTGAGAATTACGTTCAAAGGGGACTGTCTCCCCTCCCATGTGAAGGTTGGCCACTTTCGTCACCAGGTCCGACCATTTATTCCAAAACCTATGCGATGTCATAAGCGCCAGAAGATCGGCCATGTGCAGGGAGCGTGCAGGAACTCCGAAGTGTGCCCCCGATGCTCAGAACCACATACCGAGGACAAATGCAGCGCAACCATACTAAAGTGCCCTAATTGTCAAGGTGCCCACAGTGCATCTTCCAAAGACTGTCCACGCATAAAGAAGGAGTTTACTATTCTT